AAGAATAAAGCAGCAATCCTTCCCTTGGTTGTTTCCAAAGCTGAATGCATTATCTCCTCATTAGAAAACATATTAAATTATGGCATAAAAAGATGGGATGCAAACACCAACGTTCAGTGCAACCTACAGCATGCAATGACATTGGTCTTTTGGGCAGTTATCGTGTATGAATGTATCAATCTTAGACTTTCATTAATTTAAATGAAAATATCTTGCATTCAAGAAATGAAAGCTACATAAAAGCATTATAAAAAAAATTTGCTCATTGCCAATGAACTTTATCAAATCTTAATACCAACTGTAGCTGAAAAAATGCCTGCAAAATTCAATTACCAGGGAAAATAATGCTAGATTCTGAAGGAGTTTTATTTACTAATGTTCATAAATAAAAATATTTTCATCAACATAACAATCCAGTGTGTTTATCACAACTCAGTTTATTTTCATACTCCATAGATATTTCCCCCATGAAGTAAGATTCTTACTGTTTTATTTGTTCTCGTTACTTTTTTTTTTCCATATAAACTCAATTAGGAATTTTTTTCCTACTCATTATAGTTAATTTTCTTTGTTAGCTTAGAATTTGAGCTCATGCTTGAATCTGAAGAGAACCATCTGGATCACATGCCTGGAGAACTGAAGCATGAGGATGAGAGGGGAAAAAGGAAGGAACTTTCTTAAACTTCAGGCAGCGTTTTGCTTTAATTTCTCTCTTTCACCACGGCTATGTTTTGTTGCAGTAAAACAAAGTACTCACAGGAAAAAAGAAATGGTAAAATCATGTACTTCTAAAAATTACTAATAGGTTCTAGATATAACTCCAAGTACACAAAAAAACCCACATTCAGAATACTGAACCAGGAAAACTAAAGCATTCATCACTCACTGGCAGTATGGCACCAGAAAAATCACAAGTTTGAGTAAAATTTTCAAAAGAGAATACTCCCACACTGAGGAGAACTGGACTTTTTGTTTTTACAGAGAATAAAATTAATCTGAAAGCTTTCTACAGTTCAGAGAGTAAACAGGAAATTTAAACACCCTTGAGAAGTGATATTCCAAATGAAATTTTGTTTTTAATGGACTAAGATTTTATTTTAACCTAATTAAAATGTTATTATCTCATTTAAACTCCTTTCAGCTTTTTGAGTAAAGTAAAACACAACTTCTCAAAACAGAAAAGAGCTGTTTCAAAGCAAAGTCAAAGTATCCTGTTCTGTAAACATCAAAATAGAATGCAAATGAATTCTTTTATTTTGCTGGGCTTTTGTCTAAACAAGAATTCACTGACATGGGCATGCTTCCACCAAACTTCTGGGTTTAACAAAAACAACATTTTTGATAAAAAAAGCTTTTGTCCAAAAATTTCTGATTAACACTAATCATACTGTCTTTAAATGAAAGTCAAATTAGCAATCAACTACATCGCAGATTTTCAGATTTATATAGACACCTGAGTATATAGATAGTCCCAGGCTGGAATATTTTAAAGTATGTAAATGTATACATTCCTTTTGAAAATGAGAATTAGCCTTCTAATCCTTTCAGATACTTTTGAGAAATTAATTTAAATCTGATTTTGCTATCCCATTTTGAACTATCCTTGTTTCCTTCTTTCTCAGAGAATATGCAGAAAAATCTCAGTTTAAGTTCAACAGTTTAATTTTTTAATTATATTTTGTTTAAATAAAAATTGTTTTGGGAAATGCTGGCAACTATTTCCCAGAACAGAAGGTAGGAAAGATTCACAATTCATGTTGGACTGTGTTTTGTCATTCCTACTTGACAACACAGAGTCACATCAGTAGCTGGACTAATGGATCATTAGGGAAGGATTGGAATATCAGCACAGTTGGCTCTGCTCTACTCTTGGCTGCCTTGTTTGTTCTAAACAAGTAATCCATCTGTTGTTATTTTCCAAAATGTAGAGGAGGAACTAATAACCAGAGCTAGGGAGCTGCAGTTGCCACGAACCTCCTGGCTGGACTAAGCTGGCTGCTCTACATGTTATCCCAATTCCCAGCAACTAACAGAAAACACTGCCAGCGTTTCTAAAATAGCCAGCTCTCTTCATCTATCTAAGTGTAGCTTTCATTGCTGCAATATTTCAGACCACCTCAATATTTTTTGAATGCAGCAAGAGTATGTTATTCTACACTTTGCTATAGTATAAAGAATACCAGAGAAATTGAAGCAGAACAAAGAAGCAGAGGAAAGAGAAAGAGGGTGGGTATAAAACTATTTCTTCCAAGTTTCCAGAAGAAATAGCCACCTGCGTACGGACAGGCCTGATTTACCTCACTGACCTGTATATCTCAGTACATAAATCAGCCATGTTGTTCACATTTCATTTTCATTCTGGTGCATCTCCACCATTCAGTGTTTCCAATTTTCTTTCAGACAGTCAAATCAGTACACCTACTAACATCTGTACCAGCCATTGTAACCCAACATTTCTGCATGCAGCCTGCACAATCTCACCAGAGACACTTTATCACCTCTTCAAGACAACAGGCTACTTGGGTTCCTTCATTTGCATTCACTTGCGTTTCTCAAAATAAGAGTTATATGGTCACCAGCAACTGGAACAAATCTTGAGTGGGCTCTGTGCCTCCCTTCTATCTGGGGGAGAATCTGTGAGCTGCCACGTGGAGGGTGCCATGCAAGATGTGCTTTAGTTTACCAAGCTGATGTGTTAAAAGCACTTCTGTACATGGGCCAGAAATGGACAGATGTTCTCACAGAATACACCCTGAAATGTTTCACAGAGAAGGGCTGCTAAGAGAAGTACTAAGAGCTCAGGATTTCAAGTGCTGAAATAGTGCCTAACTGCAGTTCCTTTATAAATGCAACTACATTGGTATGGCTCAACGTTGCAAATGCTCACACTCCCAAATCCCAGATAATGGCAGCAAAGAGAGAAAAGAGTCTGCAGTTTGTCAGACAAAGATGGTAAGATATAACTTAGGTGGTAAAAGCCATCAATAGCACAGCAACCGCTGGAAGCAAGCAAGCGACACAGTGCCGCCTGGGATCTCAGCAGTGCTGCTGACCCAGCCTCATCTATGACTTGCTGCAACCACCTCCAGCCCTATTTTAGCACAGCTGCTACCCCAAGAGTTGCAGTCTTTGTAAGCCTTCAGAAGATAGTTACCTGCTCTCTTCTACCATATCCACTCCAAAGGATGGCCTCTCCTGATCAGGAACAGGGCTGTTAGGCCCCCTTGCACTGACCCAGCCCTTTTACACAAACCTCTGCAAAGCTGTGAGAGCAAGAACCCCATCCTGAGATGGAGAGCAAGAGCTGAAAAAAGTTGACTGCATAAATACAGCATAGTCATACCCACATTGCTTGGATTTATATCTCCAGAAAAACAATCCTCTATCTCCTGCCCTTTTCTTATATACATGTCCCATTTACTTTTTTTTTTTAAATATATGCACCAGAAGTTTCACATTTACGTTTTAAAATCTGACAGACTATTTGCAGTGTCCCTTGATATGGAAATAAACACTGCGATACTTAATGCGATTAGGTAAGTCAGCAAGTTTTCAATATTGCTGGAAAATAAAATGTACTTTTCCTTGCGAGCTCCTGAAAACAACCAGGAGAGAAGCATGGAATATTAGATAATGTTATTATTAGAAAACAAGGCTAATGGTTCTTGTACTAATTAGCTCCCTATTGAGACTACCTTAACACATTTGTTCTGCTTGATACACAGTTTAGTTACCAAAGAGCTAGTCTTCAATGATGCAGGTTTTCTTTCTTTACTTCATAGCTTCTGAATAGCTCTAATTAGAATTACAGTACTATTTGGAAAGCCTCTAGCTAAATAATTACTGGTTTTCTGAGATAACTGGTTATTTAAAGACTAGTGTATGAATTTCTCATTAAATCAGAGTCTATAGTTGGTAACTGCATGGACACCAAGCTTGTCAGAGTCATCAGCATGTAAACTAGGGCCAGGCAAAAAGTTTAAAAAGCACAGTTAAGATACCATGTGTGGTTTTTAAGTAAGTACAAATGGTTTCTTATTCATACTTTTCAAGTCTGTCCTGATAGAGAATGGCTATGAAGATTATGCAGGACACCACCTCCTACAGCTGCAGTTAATATTATACATTTGCTGACATAATTCCATAAAATAAGGACACTAGTGAAGTCATGGAAGAGTGTATTCTGAGTTTCGTTTCTGCAAACAAGAAATTGTAATTTATCTCACCATGAGCAAGCCAATCAGTAAGGGCAATGTTCGGTACATAAAGCTGATCTTAGAAGAATTTCTCATCAAGCTTTATGAGGGAAAAAATCAGTTACGAAGTCTGGCAAGATGCAACAAAATGAGTTACACTAAACACATCTACTGTTTTCTATATGGATTTTAAAAGCGGCAGCATCAACCTGAAAGATAATTCTTTAAAAGCTTTACCACTTATTGTATCAGTGGTTTATCCAGTTAGGATGGAGGAAGATCATTCCAAAAGGATCAGTGACTAGAGATAGGGATGAGGAATACATCCATTTCTTCCGTTCAGTAATTTTCCCCTTCTAACCAGGCCGCCATTATGGCTGCTCACACCAGGAGGCCCCCAGGGCTGGCCAGGGGCAATAAGACCTGGAGGTGCCATCAAGGCCCCGACAATAGGAGCTCAAGGGACAGCTGGGCTGGAGGGACCATGGGCCAGCCTGGCAAAGCTCTTGGGCCATTCCCCTCGGCTTTAGGCATGGTGGGAGGGGAAAAGGAACCTACATGCCGGTTATGAGGATATTCATGTGCATCATCTCAGGAAGAAATGTCTGCTTGCACTGGAGACAGGCCAAAAGGCTCAGCCCTGCCTGGAGAGCTTGTCCCTGCAGAAGAGAGTATAACAGTGTGAGCAGGACACAGCTGCTGGGCACACCACATCCATGAGATGTGCATGAGGGAAGGGCCTCCTACCTGGATGCAGCCACGGTGGAACCAGGCATGCTTGCAGAAGGGGCACACCATGGTGGTTTAGGAGGTCCTGTCCTCCACCAGTTCCATGAAGATAATGCATGTAGTATCCTCCTCCTGAAGCACCTCCACGGTCTGCTGCGGGTGGTGCTCCCAGCAGAACGAGCTGAGGGAAGAGACGGAAAACATGAGCAAGGCCAAGGTTTACAGGAGGCCATCCACAGCTCTGGACGAGGCTTCCCCAAATGCTGGAGAGGCCACTGCCTCCCTGGGATGTTGGGCACATGTCCCTCTTGCTACTCCTTTTCTCCCAGTATGCCCCCCACCCAAAAGCATGAGACACCAAAAGGTCTCAGCATGGTCTCAGCAGATGTTTCTATGAAAACACCAGGATTCCCCTCCCAAGGCTCAGGCTCACCTCCCACAACCCCAGACTCCTAAAAAACAACCCATCACCTTCCACAATGTCCACTGGCCCTTGGATGGATACTGGAAGACAGAAAAGCCCAGGAGCTCATCAGGGCAGCGAGACAGGGGCCAGCACAAAATCTGCAGAAGTTAAACCTGCCGAGAGTTGAGACTATGTGTGGACAGGCAGTGCTGAACTGCAGGCTGGGTGAGCTGCAATAGTCCTCATCTCAGACCTGATCCTGAGCAAGAAGCACAAAGACCAGGAGAGCTGCACCCCAGGTGTGCTGTGGCTCCTCAAGCATTTGACCGGGGCCATGGAGAAGGGCTGGGGACCAGCCCCGCAGAGGTGGCTACTATGGCTTCTAGAGCTATATAGATGTCATGCTTGGGTGGCCACAGTGGAGAGCCAGAAGAGAGCTCAGGAAAGCAAACCCTTGTGTTCCCCTGGGTTGGAGGATGCACTTGGGAGGACCAGATTGGGAGGGCTGGATCTCCCGCACACAGGGAATGGGGTCGCTCAGCAGCACTAGCATGGGGAGGCTGTGCTGGGATCGCTGGGGGAGGAGGTGACATCTGCCAAGTGGCCGACATCAGGGTTTCACAGCTGCAGACCTTGGGTGCCCCTTTGGGGAAAGCTGAGGCCAGCCCCCAGGCAGCTCACCATGCAGAAGACCATCGTCCTGGTGCATCAGCCCGCCAGCATCCAGGTCAGAGTCTGCACAGCAGCACAGCACGCACTGTGGAGGCAGGCAGGGAGGGAGCAATGGGGGGCAAGCATCATCCCTGCTAAGCACCTCTGGAGAGGCCTGGGGAGGTCATCCCTCCCCATACCACAAGCCTCCCTTGCTGAGCACAAGACAGGCTCTGCACCGGCGGCTGTGGGGAGCTCCTGCCTCCCTCCCTCCACCCTGCCCTACTCTGGTTTCAGGGAGCTGCGGGGATAGTTGCTCTCACCATCCTCCCTTGACTGGGAGGCCTTCCTCTTCATGGCAGTCATGCTGTAAATTGGTGCCGACAGCCCCTCTGCCAACCCTGAGGGAAGAGCAGGAGCAGGGCGCGACTCCAGCACCTCTCAAGGAGCCTGGGAAAGTCTCCTCAAGGGACTCCCCATGCCTGCGACGAGCAGGAGGTGACAGGCTGGCTGGGGAAGGGTGTCCCCAGGGCTCACAAGTCAAAGTCCCCCTGCACAGTCCTTGAGGATTTGCTGTCACAGCCAGCACCTGTCCACTCCACAACACATCCCACTCCTGCTGAAATGGCCTCACCGGGCCGACTCTAGCCCCACGCTCTGGCCCAAAGCAAGGCTGCCTCCAGCACCCCCAGCTTCCATAGCTCCCACTGTCTCCATGTCCTCATCTTCCCCAGCCCTCCCCAGCCTCCTTGCCCGCACCAAGCTCTGGGCAGCACCTGGGTGAGCTGGAGGACGGTGGACAGGGAGCGGGCACTCGCTCTGCTCCATCCCCAAGGGCTTTCCCGGGCAGTCAAACTTGTCCCAGGCCAGGCCAGGAACAGACTGATATGCCAGAGCCTGGCAGAATTAGCCCAAGCCCTGCTCCCCACCCAGGTGCCAGGGCCACGTGCAAGCCACTCAGGCACCAGCAATCTGCTCTCCCCTTCTCATCCATGGGCTTCAGCTCCCAGGACATTGGCCCTCCAGCTCAGCCCACACAGCCTCCTGGGAGCCAGCAGGGCCAGGACGCGTGCCAGGGCTGGGCATCAGCACCATTGCCAGAGGTCTTTGTAGCCAGCCGTATGGGTCATGACTCCTGAAGTCCTTTGCTGAGACAAATGGGCCTGGGCAGAGCCCCAGCAGCCCTCTCCACTGCTTGGAGGAGCCCTTGGTCAGTGCCATCAGATCTGGGGCATCCCTCGTCCCCTGGAAGCTCAGTGTCCCTGTAGGAGAGCTCTGCATCTTCCCTCAACACCCCCCCCTCCACCTCTTTGCAAGGCTTTCAGACACCTGGGCAGACCCTGCCCAGGCATTCACCTCCACCAAGAATGTGGGGAATTGCTCCTTTGCAGACTTACCCCTCTTCTTCCCACTGCTCCCTGCCTCCCCAGTGCAGACACCAGCTGGCATCGCAGCCCAGATATCCTTTTGCTGCAGTGCTTCTTCCTCCTTCTCCTCCCAAGCTGGCTTCCTGCAAGAGAAGGAAGGAAAAGACGTGAGCCTCCCCCCGCCCTGCCTTTGCTCAGCAAGCACCCCTCCTGGAGCTGGGACAGGGTTTGTGGCACCCCTGCCAGCGGGCCTGTCTCCTCCTCTCCTCCAGGCAGCCCCTTTCCTTGGGAACAGCCTGGCTGGGGGCCCTTGGGCCATTTCCTTCTCTTTTAGGTGAGGTGGGAAAGAAGAACGGAACCAACATGTCGGGTACAAGGATCCTCGTGTGCATCATCTCAGGAAGGAGCGTCTCCCGGCCTTTGCAGTGGGGACAAGCACAAAGGCTCATCCCTGCCCAGAGAGCTTAGAGTATCTCTCCAACATTCATAGCCACCTGACATTTTTGGGGAAGAGGGACAACAGAGAGGAGCAGAACCCTGCTCTGCCCTGTCCTTCAGACAGTTTTTTCCTCCCTTTATACCAGACATTTCTGTTTAAAAATAGTAGATGAAACTTCCTGCTATTAGAGATGAACCTCTGTAGATGGAGAGCTCATCTACACCACACAGGTCTATCTCGGGAAGTTACTCTTAAGTAAAACAGCATATGAGTTTCCAGTGCATTTTTTTGTTTTGTATTTTCTCCCCATGAGAACAGCCTTAGTAAACAGTACACTTATGAGACCACTAAATGAAGTTGCACATACTACTTGAGAAAAACACTTCACTGCAAAGTTGTTCGTATGTTATGAATTTACATTTTAGGAATTGTAAATAAGCTCTTTGGTACACTGTATCACTATCAAACAGATCAGGAAAAGCTGATAAATAGGATCGCTTTTCCAGTAACAGGTCAGTCACACTATTCTAGTTTTCATAAACATGGGAAAAAGGAATGGCAAGGGAGTATTTGTCATTCTGTAGCTTTGACTCAAAATTTAGTCAAGCTCCTTTCACTGAATTTAATGAATTCTGAATACAGATTTTAATGTCCATTATATGCACATATGCACACAGTCACAAAAAACCCAGAAGACTGCAACTCAGTTGTCTCACCCAGCAGAGAAACCAGGGTTGCAGCTCTGAAAATGCCTGATGCCTGCTTTTCTTTTATTAGAGCTGACAAAGACTTGCTCTGGAAGGTCACAACCTCTGCTTGCTACTCTAAGCTTGGGGTCGGGGGTTTTTTTCCTCAGAGCAAAAGCACTTTACCTTTTTCACTCTTCGCAAACAAAGCACTGTGTCCATTTTGAGAAGGGGGCAAAAAAGGCCAGAGAGGAGGAATGTCTCATGAAGCAAGGTGTGGCCACCTTTTAGCTTTTCTGTTTGAATTCCAACAGATAGCAATGATAAGCCTTTTCATTTTGCAACAAAAAGAATTTACTGACTAAAAAGAAACATGCTGTAAAATATAGCTGCTGGGAGCAGTTAAAAGGTTCCATACCATTTGCCTTCCTTTTCTGAATGCCTCATTTTGATTAAAAGTACCTCAAAAGCAAGAGAGAAAAAAAAATCAGGACAGGAAAGGGGCAGTTATTATTGCATGTGTGTATACATATATACATGGGGGTATGCTTGTGCACATGTTCATATACATGTGTTTACATTATAATATTACAGTTTTATGTTACACAAGTGCTTGTGAGGTATGATAATCTCAGTTATCATTTTATTATAACAGAACTGTATGTAGCATATCAAAAAGGAAGTGAGAGAACAACACTGTCAGTTAAACCCGAGGCATTAGAAAACTCCAATGTAGCGCAATTCTATCCACACAAGGGTTACGAGAGCCAGAGGCTGCTGGTGTAGCCGGTTTGTTAGCGGGGAGTAGAGCTGTTCCACTCAAGATTGCAGACTGCCATCTTCTGGTGGTCTGTCTTAAAGTCACACTTTGTAAGAGTCGTCTTTTGAGTAAGGTGACTTAAAACACCACCTTTATTCACACTGACTTCTTCAGAGCACATTTTGCAAGCCCATTTTTTCCACTATATTTTTTTCCTGATATCTCACAGAATGGCTCAGGTTGCATCCATATCGCTTTTCAAGGTTTGGTCTGTTGCCAAATCAAATCCAAATTCAATTTGCGTCCACATGAGCCCGTGCTCAAGCACTGGCTTGAGCCATGGGTTTGAAGACATAACAGGTAATATTCTTTCTACCCAGGGATGCTCCTACCTTAAGCATAGTAGATGGCCCAGGTGTACCATGGCTTACCAAAGGGCTCACCATACCAGCCTAGACCATCTGGTGTTCCATCTGCCCTTGTGGCAATGGTATACAGACAGTGTTACAAAAAGAAGACAGTCAGAGTGTCCCATAGTAAGAAACATCTTTTGTGTTGAGTCATAGGCAGCCTTTGCTCAGTAATATCTATATAGCACTGCGTGGGCATTATACCCATCCTGCATCCTACTTCTCACAGTGTGCGCATAGAAAGTTCAGGCAGTTTTATAGTTGAGCTGGAACCTGGTTTTGGCTCAGCCTTATAAAATGCAGTACAGGTGTAGCATATGCATAAATCATGTGAAAAAATTGACATATTTCCCATTGAAATTAGAAATGCATTACCCACAGTTTTCTTACTCCCTTCCACTAGAGTGTATTGCATTTGTTTTAATTTGTTGAAAATGACAAATCTGCTATCATTTGGCACAGCCTTCAAAACAAAATATGTTTCTGAAACATGTTTCTTAGGGAAAAAATGTTGAGATAAAAATAACACAGAAACTAAGATTCGATTCATCTCCCTAACCACTCAAAAAGAAAATTCACTTCCATATGCACATCCAGAAAGGCAAGACTAAGACCTGATTGCTCTGCTCTAAAACTACAGACTAGTGAAAAGCCCATAGCAGCAGCAGTAAGATTATCCTTCTCTATGAAATGTAGTTGCCAGTCTTCCCCCACTTAAATGAACAAAGCCAGCAGTGCATTATAATTTACTGCATTATTTCAGGCCCAAGAAAAGTAAACTGAAAACACTACAAGCTTAGATATAATGATAGACCACTTGCATTCATTATATTTTGACAAAGAGGTTTCCCAAATTACCTTTTAAAACTCCCAGGTTTTCTTCTAAAGAGTAGCATCTTTCCTGCAAGGCTTGTTTTCTACTATAGCAGTGCAGAGTTTGGTTCACTTTCACACATTTTTCACTTTCACTGTTACAGCAATCTTGTCAATCTGCTATCTCAGCCATATAGTCTTCAGCTTCAGCTACAAATTTATTTTCTGAATTGACTGCACTTCTCATATATGTGGCCAGTTGGGAAGGACTTGTATTTTTTTGACAGGTATCCTTCCCAAAGACCTACTTCTCAATTAAAAACAACCCCACCCACACACCCAAACTATCTGAAACTCAGAAGAGTGGCTGACACTGGAGTTCAGCTGAGAACACAATGTTTTTATTTGCTTCTGTTCTGTTTTATTTACTGTTATTGAAGTTTTCAGTTTGTCACTTTAATGTCAATTTTCTTAATTATTGTCCTTCTCTGTAAGCTACAAAAGGCTATGTACTTGTTCATGCTAACTCCAAGGTGAACCTAAATATTTTTCAGCAATTATTTCAAAAGATTATTTTAAAGTAAATTTTATCTACTTATTTTACAAAGGTGGAGATCTTGAAGACATAAGGAAATCAATGACATCCATCATCTCAAATTCGTGAAATAACAAACTGCAAAATTTGAGCCCCTTACTTTTCTCTCACCAGCTACCCATCTCACTGCCACTGATTGTCACATTCTCTCTCAGACTATTAAAGTGGGGATATACTATTGCTATGCAAATGTTTTTTTGACTTGAGTTGTAAATAAATTAGATTTAGTCTCATATAAACTAAAGCCTGATCAATAACTTTAGGCAAAGATCTGCTGCAAAACAACTGCAAAAACCAAAACAACTTCCCCAAATTTATAAATAAACTAGCTTCCCACTTTGCTTCAAAAAGTACCACTTTCCTTTGCTTTTCAATGGAGGTAACAAAAGATCTGCTTCATCATCATTTTGGTGGTGCATCCCATCCAAGAGTGTAAATTTTAAAATATTGAAAGAAAATGCTTTAACATTCAGTTGATAGATGTATGTAGGTAACTTACTATTCTGTGAAAGGTTATTCAAAACTTCCCATTCCCTTATTGGGCTTCAAATGGAAATATTTGCTTTGGTCCTTTTTTTATAACAAGTTATCTACTTCATTCTCCATTAATCAAACAGTGTTACCTGTTTCCCAGTAATGCGTGTATTATCAGTATTTTAAAGAGGGAGGAAAAACCTGAATGCAACTGAGGTTCCTTAGTAACTGTTTTTTTCTAACTACAGTCTATCAAAAGGATTTTCTAGAAAAAGAGAATGAAAGGAAATAAATGCAGAAACAATGAAGCTCAGATTATCATTTTAAATCCAAAAAGAACTAATATGATCACATAGCAAAGGACAAGAGCTTCTCTTAAACTGCATTTGTGAAGCAAAATCACTTTGATAATCCCCAGTATGAAAATTTACTGGATCTATTATTAGCAATGGAAGTAACCTCAGAGTTTAACACCTGTCCCATACTGGGTTCAGTAAAATTCAGAATGCCACAAATCTACCATAGTCCCTACCAACAGGGAAGTTCAAGTGCTACTGTTCAGCCTGCAAAATACAACTGCAATTTATTAGTGGAACAGTGATTCTTAGAGTCACTAATGACTCTATTAATCAATTTTTTTTAAAAAGACATAAAAGAAGTGCTATTATACAAAATATTTCTACCTACTTTTAAAAGCCTTTAGAAAATATAAAATTTCTTTTAGGTCAGAAAGGGAACTTAAAGATTTGAAGGAAAAAGGAGCTGATAATCTATTTTTCAAAGAATGCAGTAAGCTTTGATCATGCAACTTGAAATTTTCATGTTCTGTTGTGCAAATAAATTCTCCATCCACTTTCTTTAAAAACCATCTAACATGGTCCCCGAATTGTGAATGAGAGTGATGCTAAATGATGAAATTGGAAATACAACGGGACACTAGCCATTTCCTAAGCATTGTGTAATAGATGAAAAGCTCTAAAAATTTAACTCCATGCAGCCAACCATAGAATTAATAAATATTCAGTTTTTAAGTATTAAAAAATAGACCTACACCATCCAGAATTAAAAAAATTACAAGCAGAAGACAGATTACAGTAGCCCGTATTATTTAAGTCAAGTCACTCTACCAATAGTGAATGATTGCATAACTGCATCATCGTGATTGCATCTGGTTTCAGTTTTTAAATGTGAAGATAAAAATCTTTTATGTGTCCATTTCTGTTTGATGTTCAAGAGAGGTTAAACTAAAGAAAATTTACATTGAATATCACAAGAAAAGGATCCAAGGAAAAGGCTCAACTTCTCTTCATTCAGATTTAAGTTTGATGATGCACTATACATGATGAGGGTACCACTATCTCACAACCCATCAGCAGGTAATTCGTAAGGAGGTCAAAGAAAGGAAAAGGCCATAGAATCATGCATAATTTAGCAATTTCATCAATAAACAATTCTTCAGATAATAAAAAAGAGCACTGAAAGAGGCATGTGGAGAAGGAGAAAGGGAACAAAAATACCACCAACACCATCTTGTAAGCAAACTTCGACTTCGTGTGCCTATAGGAAACTAGGTAAATAATCCCCCAATTTGCATCAACCACCATGATAATCACGCATGGAAATACAGACACACGCATATTTATACTTTGTACATTTGATCCACTTGGGTAAGTGTTGTGGTTTAACCCAGCAGGCAGCTAAACACCACGCAGCCGTTTGCTCACCCCCCTCAGTGGGATGGGGGAAAGAATCGGAAAAAAGGCAAAACTTGTGGGTTGAGATAAAGGCAGTTTAATAGGACAGAAAAGGAAGGGAAAATGATAATAATGATAAAAGAAGATACAAAACAAGTGATGCACAATGTAGTTCCTCACTACCCACTGACTGATGCTCAGCCAGTCCCCGAGCAGTGGGTCTCCATCCCCCGGGCAACTCCTCCCAGGTTTTTTTGTTCAGCATGACATCATATGGTCTGGAATATCCCCTTGGCCAGCTGGGGTCAGCTGTCCTGGCTGTGTCCCCTCCCAACTTCTTGTGCACCCCCAGCCTCCTCACTGGCAGGGCAGTGAGAGAAGCTGAAAAGTCCTTGACTCAGTATAAACACTGCTCAGCAACAGCTAAAACATCGGTGTGTTATCAACATTATTCTCACCCTAAATCCAAAACACAGCACTACATCAGGTACTAGGAAGAAAATTAACTCTATCCCAGCCGAAACCAGGACAGTAGGTAATGATACCACAAAAATAAATAAAGTAAATAAATAAAAAAGAACAAGTGGGGAGAAGTAGTGAATCATTATTCAATCACCTTGGACTTCACAAACTTATCTTCAGTAACAGTCAACGTTAAAGGCACAAAAGCAAAACCTCTGAAGAGTAAAAACTCTTTACAGAAACGTGTAGCTACAATGGTCTAATCAGACCTGACATAGTTATTCTGATTCTTGAATTCTGTAATAGTCACAAAAAATTCTTCCTATTTTGTGTTGCAGTCTACCAGATATTTTTTTTTTATTGTAGTGTGGTAAAACTAATACTTCTAAAAGCTATTACTAGCATTTTATATTTCAAGTTACTGGAGAACAGAAAAGCAGAAATTGGTTTTTGATCATCCCATGGTCATGTGTTTTAATTTAATTTTAAGAAAAACTGTCATTGCAAATATATTTCTAATAAGTAATGCTCTAATGTATAATACTAGAAAGAAATATTAATATGCAACATCCTACAATGTCTAGAAATAATTTATTGATTATATCTATAAACATTCATTTTTAAACATCAGAGACACTCATCATGAATAAACAAAAATTAAATACAAAATTTTTTGAACTTGTTTTAGCTTTTATACATCTTAACTATGATGCATCTATTCCAGTCAACCTTATCACCACAGACCTTGCAGGTGCATAGTCTCATCATGCTAGACATTAAACAAGATAAGAGGATAGTCAAGGAGAGTAGGGATGAAGTCAAATGCATTACTGAGTTAACTGCTTTTAGATGTGATAGTCTGAATTTCCTTTCCACAGTATTTTTTTTTCAACCCAGATATCATAAGGTGACAAGCATAGGAATTTTTACAATGTAATGTGATATTAGAAATGCAAAAATTTAGATACCAGAACAAAGCTAGAATTCCAGTCATTGTCTATCGCCTTGACTAAACATACACTGCATAGATATGCAAGAACAGATATTTTTACAGAAAGAGCCTACAGCAATGTGTTAAGTACTCAGAGAAAATAAAATGCAATTCTTTGAGACAAAGCAACAACAACATTTTTTACTTTCATCTCCATAGCACATAAATGAAAAAATCACTTAACTCCAGGAGTACAAAAAAAGGTCAGTTATAAAGTTAAATGGACCGACGTAACTCTTTAATACTGATTTTATATAAATTAGATGATTTAATTTTGATTTTATTCTGAATTATTCTCTACTATCTAGGGATTATTCCACATACAGAACATTAAGTAATTACAGGCACATACCAGCATGTGTTAGGTCTATTGTTTTGTGAAGGCCCCTCTCACCTTTCCCTTTGGCCTTTTTTTAAGAGGAAAGTTGATAGCATTTTACATATAAACCTAACCTGAAATTACACGTACAATTCCTATACCACTGGGATTATGCATTGAAGTGCCATTTGTGCCTTTAGAAATCTTTTCACTGTATGAAACCACAGGACTGCTTGCATGCTGAATAAGACCTTAACATTCCTCTTTCTTCTCTTTTCTGAGACAAAGGCATCTGTTTTGCTTCATCCTTTTGCTATCTGCACCATACTATGCCAGACTTGGGGGTTTAATTTAGTACATGGGTAGGGCCTGACAATTTTTAAATTTTGGTCACATAGATTTACATTTCAATCTCCACGTTTAGGTGAGAGCCTGTTCTTAAGCCCATTCTTACAGTTTAGAACACAAAACTATGATCTATTACTTATGCACAAGCTGGCACAGCATAATATATTTAATTGGAAGCAAGTAGCCTCAACTATTTACTCACAAACTGAATCATGTCCTTCTCAAATTTCAGTTCTTGGTGTAGTTCTCACGCACTGCAACAGATAGACCTTGCACAATGGCTTTCCCCAACCACGTGAGTGACAGGGAATAGGAAACCTTATGAAGAGGTATAGAAGAAAGATCAGGAAGAAAGTGAGACCTAGTTAGCAGTCACAAGCATTTGGTAGCCATCTTAGAATATTTATTTCCCAGATGGTCCAGGTGACATATAATTAGCATCACTGTAAGCATTTATATCTGGGGGGAAGGGAGAGTGTACTCTCTTTTATCCTTCTATAACTAATACAGCTGAGGTCTTTTGCCTATAAATTCCTCTTCTCTGTCCTTCATTTTGCAAACAACACAATGAATTATCTCTTGACACTAACAAATAAAGAACAATCTATATAACTCATAAAAATTAAATGTGGCATTCTATTCTTAAACAACTCTGGCTAGTTTTGCACAATCAAGGTACTTATTTAGGAGAATAAAATGTGTGTAGAATATATAAAAATGAAGATAAATTATAAATTTTTCTTGCATGTCAGACTTTTTTAATTATAGGTCTGAGAAATCTGTAAATAGAACCCAAGTAGTTTGAGAACTGGTATCTTTTCACATGGAATCAATCTGTTCTTGAATGCTAATTGCTTGTTTGTAGTCTTCTACAGCCTCTTTATAGAAACCCAATTTACCAAGAATATCAGCTCTAAATTTATACATCAAGGCATCATTAGGTTGAATTGACAATGCTGTAAAAATAAGAAATAGAATGTTAGGCTTTTTTTTTTTTAACATTATCGCATGATTATAAAGAGAAGCATCATCCAAAAACTTTTGTCAGTGCTCAAATTCTCCTCCAGACACGCTTTCACAAGAGAAAACGTATTACATACATTAAGTTTACATCAAGAGGTAGGCAACTTTGTTATGTTATTTATACTTCGGGGGTTTTTTTCTGGTTTTGATGCCATTTATGAACCCCACTTTAACTTTGCCCCAACAGCAGAAACTATGCTTTCCTCCGACATACAAGCAAAATCTTAGAGAACTACTACCATCCAACTTCTGGAACATGGCAATGAACCCAGTATCTTATTCAGTTTCTCCATTGTATGAAAAGGATTCAAGTACTTGTTGGAAAGCTTAATCTGCTGTTTTAAAATTCTGCTTCAGAGAGAACATTTTTTTGAAAATCAGTCAGCTCCCTGGTCTAGTCAATTTTCACCACCTAACACTATGAAAACATTAGTCATGAAAGCCATGAAGTAAAAACACTATTTTGACAAATTTACCTGTAAAAGTAAACTAATTTCTAAAAAAAAAAAAAAATCTGAAGAGAGTTATCCTTTCAGGAAAGATGATTACCTGTGCAATCAAGTGTTGTCAAATCAAAGTCACATTATTATAATACAAACTAAACATAGCTTTAGTTACTGGAAGAAGTTTGCCTGTGTATCCAGAGTTGCTGAATCTCGTGTTAGTAGCAATGACAAAAGCAGCAATGGAGTAATACAGTTCAGCTGTTTTGAACCTGAACAAAAGCTTTGGTTTTTACTAAGATCAAGATGAAAGTTTGATTTAGTTCCTCTTCTCTATGAAACATGTCTATTCCCAACAGAAAAGCTTATGGAAGCCAAACACTGTTTCAAAACTTATTCTACAAAGAGCATGTTCATTAAATTTCATGTTTATATATAAAATAAGCTACTTGAATGCCATTTTCTAGGCACCTACATATCTTAACACATACACACACACACAAAAACTCACAAAAATTTTTCAGATGTGGTAAATATAGTATTTTCCCATTAATTTCTTGCCACAATTTCATTTAGAATGGGGCTCTGTTCAGCTGCTAATGACACATATTATATGAAACAGTTTATCTTCTAATTTACATATTCTTCCAATTTTGAGAATGGAAAAAAAACCACAATTAATTAGCATGTTTACTTTAAATTCCTCTTTTTCATCACATCATAATATCTGATCAAATTAGGCAGAAAACATACCAGCCAAAATAGACACACACTTTCTGAATCATGAAATAAAGCCAAGTAATTTATCGTCATAATTGTTAGTATGCTACCAAACATAAACATGATAGGTAAATAAAGATTACCCGTTGAAATGTCTTTCTCAGCTAGTTCATATTGCTTCAATCCATAATAGAAATTTGCCCTGTTAAAATACACTGCTGCAGAGAATGGGCAGAGACAAATTGCCTTCTCAAAGTCTTCTTTTGCTTCTTCAATATTGTTTAGTAATGCATTTGTAATAGCACGATTCATAACAGCAGATTCATTTCTTGGGTCAATTTGTAATACCTTTGAATAATAGCAATAGGCCTGCAAAACACATGAATTGGAGACAAAGTACACTGTTAAAATTTGGGGAAATGGCTTATGTACAACTTGTAAATTCCAGTTTGTTTCTTTTAGCCGTTAGTATTCTTAAGTCTTTACTCATTCTATTCAGCGTTCTTTGCGCACAGAAGAGACACAGCACCAGCACGTTTATCCACAAATAGGTCAATCACCATCCAGACAGACTTTTGAAAAGTAACAGCTGTTTATGCTGAATTGTAATTGTAGCAGAAGAAATAAGCTACACACTAAGACCAACTTGAATTAACATAGAAAATAGTTTATAATGCAACACCTATTCTTGAACTCCTTTCTTCATAATTAGACAGCCTCTGTGAGACAGTAAGGAGTCACAGAAACACAGTAAAAAGGAAGAACAGCCTACACAAGACCAGTCATGGAAGAATGATATCAGATGCATATGAGAAGAGATTATATGATCACAGAAGAAGCCATATGCAGGGTACTGACCTTGGACTCCTAAGGAATTTCTGATCCAAGTCTAACTAATGCTGAAGAGCAACAAGGAATCTAACTCAGAGAAACACACAAGAACATTAAATTTTTTTCTTACATGACCTATTTCTTGTGCTTTATGAAGTACAATCTAGGTTTAACACCATATGCCAAGTCTGTACTATACATGACGAATTCCTTAATTAACTACAAGCTGAAGTGTTTACAGATGCAACTCTAGGAGAGAATTAATTCAAGTAGATGAAATGTGCCGAAGCGTCCATGCTGGTTCTGGGTTTCCACAGCTGCTGGACCACAAAGCTCCAATCAAACAAAAGCCTGAGCCTATGCCCAGGAAATGTGACTGGAAAACCAAATAAAAATCATGGCACAGGCCTCCTCACGCAGAGAAAAATAAATGATCCTTGCCTTCAAGCAGGTTTCAGATTCTCTCACAAGAGGAATTTCAGTATCCAACTCTTCTGTATTTGAATATACCCACTGTATTTAAGCAGAATTAGGTGATTTAAAACTCCAAAGTTACTGTGGTAACAGCAGGAAGATCTGACGTCTTGATTGACGGTCATCAGCAGGAGATTCTTTTCATTCTCCTTGTTATGGTGCTATAGTGAATCTGGGCAAGTTATTTAATGTGCAGGAATTAGGCTGGGGGGGAAGTTACTGAACATTAGTGAGATTTTGGTATCTCAATTATTTACAAATTTTTGTGACGTGTATCCTAGGTGTCATGAGTCTTAGTTCATTCATATCAATGATAAAATACACAGTAGTAGGGCAACTATTTGTTATTAATTACTACAGATCAATCATCTGCTGGTGGAGGACCATGAAATTCAAAGTAAGAAAGCCTCACGTTAGTTATACTTAAAGACAGCTTTATACCAACAGTATTTATTCAAGTAAAAAAGTTCTGAAGAGAGTATAAAGACAGAGTGTAGACTTACTTGTGAAAACTGTCGATTATGGAAGTAGATATTTGCTGCATTGAAATAGGCTAATGCATAGTTTGGGTCAACAGAAATTGCTTGTTGATAGTCCTTCATGGCACAGGGTAGATATCCCATTAACTGACTGATGACACCCCGATTTGTTAGCAGTGGAGCAGTGGTAGTGAGCTGAAAGGAAAACATAGATACATTCTTACTCAGGGAAAATTTACACTTTTGCAGTAATTTATTCTGGCTTTCAAAGAAACATTTACTTTTAAAAATATTTGAATTGCACCTTCTAATCCAAATTGGCAACTATTAATGTCAGTATTGACTGGCTTCATAACAACAGGTTGATTTTAGTAATATCACTTTAAGTTAACATCTACCTTTAGTGCGGCATTTATATCTTGAAATGCAGCAAAAGTTTCACCCATTTGAAGACAGACTGAAGCTCGTCCATCATATGCAGCATGGCATTTTGAATCAATGCAAATGGCAACTGTAAATTGGCTCCATGCTCTCTGAAGCTTTCCAAGGGCCTAAAATGAATTGCAATATGTCCATAATAAGAAACATAAGAAATGTAAAACATACTAATGGTCCCACTTAAAAAATTACAGCAGAGAATGGAAGCATGCTTATATTTACAAATGCAGTTAACTAAATTTTTTTAAAAATTAGTTCAAATACCTTGTTAATTTTCAAATATCTTGTTAATTATGCAATACTCATTGTCTTTGCAACTATGTCATGTATCTGTCACAACTGTTTTAACTGCAAATATTACCTCTTCTACATCACAGAATCACAGAATGGTTGAGTTTGGAAGGGATCTCTGGAGATTGTCTAGGCCAATCCCCTGCTCAAAGCAGGATCAGCTGGAGCAGGTTGCCCAGGACCATGTACAGTTAGATTTTTAATATCTTCAACCATGGAGACTCCACAACCTCTGTGTGTAATTTGTTCCGGTGTTCAATCAGCCTCACAGCAAAAAAAAAAGTTTTCTGATGTTTAAATGGAATTTCCTGTATTTCAGTTTGTACCCATTGCCTCCTGTCCTGTCACTGTGCACCATTAAGAAGAGCCTGGCTCCACTTTATTTATAGTCCTTCATCAGATATTTATACCTATTTATAAGATTTCCCCCTTGAGCCTTCATCTCTCTTTCCCTTCTTGTATGACAGATGCTTCAAGGCCTTAATCATCTTAGTGGCCAGTATGTTCATGTCTCTCTTGTATTGGAGAGCCCAGAACTGGACACAGTACTCCAGATATGGCCTCACCAATACTGAGTAGAGGAGAAAGATCATCTCCCTTGACCTTCTGGCAATGTTGCTTCTAATATAGCCCAGGGTATCACTTGCCTTCTTTACTGCAAGGGCACATCACTGACAACTTCAGCTTGTTGTCCCTCAGGACCCCCAAGCCCTTTTCTGCAAAGCTGCTTTTAAGCCAGTCAGCTACCAGCTTGTAGCGGTGCATGAGGTTCTTTCTCCCTAGATGTAGAACTCACTCTCCTTTGTTGTACTTCATGAGGTTCCTGTCTGTCATTTTTCCCAGCTGTCTAGCACGTCGTCCCTCTAAAAATGGCAGCACAACCATTTTGTGTATCAGCCAGTCCTCCCAATTTTGTATCATTTGCAAACTTGCTGAAGGTGCACTCTACTCCATCATCCAGGTCATTAATTAAGATGTTAAACAGTATTGGACTTCCTACTGCCTGCTGAGGGTACCTCACTAGTGACTGGCCTCCAGCTGGACTTTATTGCACTAATAATGACCCTTTGAGCCTGACAGTTCAACCAGTTTTCATTTCACCTCACTGACCACTTATCTAGACCATACTTCACCAGGTTTTCTATGAAGACCTTATGAAAGACTACTGAAAGCTTTGCTAATGTCGAGATTAACAACATTCACTGCTCACCTCTCATTCACCAAGCTATTCATCTCATCATAGAAGGCTATCAGGTTGATTAAGCAAAATTTCTCCTTCATAAACTCATGTGGACTACTCCCAATGACCTTGTCCTTCATGTGTTTAAAAATAGTTTCCAGAATTATTTGCTTCATCACCCTTCCAGGGACTGAAGTGAGGCTGACCTGCCTGTAGTTCCCCAGATACTACTTCTTGCCATTCTTGAAGACAGGAGTGACATCTACTTTCTTCCGGTCTTCAGGAATGTTTACCGATTGCTATGACCTTTCAAAGATAATTGAGAGTGGCCTCATAGTGATGTTGGCTAGCTCCTCAGCACTTGTGGGTATATTCTATTAAGTCCCATGGGCTTGTGTATGTCTATTTTGTTTAAATATTCCCCAACCTGATCCTCGTCCACCAAGGCCAAGTCTTCCTTGCTCTGGAAGGAAGGTCTGGTCACAGGGACTTGGGATTCCTGAAAGCCAGTCCTACCAGTAAAGACCAAAGTGAAGAAGGCATTGAGTACCTCTGCATGTCCTTTATCACTGCACCTCTAGTCACATTCAGCAGCAGGCCCATATTTTCCCTAATTCTCCTTTTGCTACTAATATACTTGTAGAAGCCTTTCTTGTTGACCTTCATGTCCCTCACCAGATTCAACTCTTGATGGGCTATATATTAGCTTGTGACCTGAAGACTTCACATGACAATAAAATTAAACCACGAGGCTGTTCAGCAAAAGTACCTCCCCTGGATGGTCAAATGGAATTCTGGTATACTGTACATTGTGAAGGAGTTAGCACAATCAAGAAAGTGCTTAATTCTGGGCAAGTAGGCCACTTGGGATCACAGGCAAAATGTAAACCTTTTGCCTAATATATGTATTAATTAAGCAAAGGTGGAAGGCGAGTCATCTATTTCCTCACATCAAAATACTTCTCCACATGTGTCTATGTTTAAGTCCCAAAAGGTATAAGGCTTAAGAGAAGGCATCTAGTGAGAATTAGGCCTCTCAGAAATTAAGCACCTGCCACTATGTGAACTTTATGGGTTGCCTCCTGCACCTAAGATGTCTAATTCTCACCCACGTTTTATTCCTACCTACTCACCAATGTAGTCACTCCAGATTTTTCTCTTGCACAGTACTTCCCAAAGCACTGTGAAAGCATTAGTTAGAATTTAAGTGAATTGGCAAAGCTGTAAAAGGAAATTTGCGTGACACCTATGCAAGACTACCTGACACAGGCTACTAACATTAATCCCTCATTTACACTGGCAAAAAATAATCCGCAACAAGAACCATGACAATTCAAGACATTTCAGACAACTGGATATAATAAAGCACAGTAACTCAATGACAGAAATTAGACAGAGACAAAACCTGCCAAGTCATATCATATATCCCTTTGCTAATATAGAAGTTCATTTTCTATGTAGGTAAGCAGTTTTCAGAGATCATTATATGTAAGGCCTTTACCAAGGGATTTTAGCAGATTTGCTAACAGTGTAGTTTTGATAATTACATACAAGATTTTGTTTTACACAGATTTGTCAACACTTTGGCTGCTTTTTACTTCAGTAAAGAACTCATACACACAAAACATGCCAGTTCTTAATGTTAGTTTATCAGAGAACCATATACGCAAATCAAACAAGTGTAAGGTTACTTGATATTCCATTATTCAAGAGCAGAACTCCAACAAGATTGGGCACAAAAGTGAAAAGTATAATGGTCTATCCATTTACTTAAAAAGACAGAAGATGCCATAAGGTTTGTCTAAAGTACATGGATGATTTTATGTTTATTATGATTATTTTACGTATTATATAAATGTATGCATATGAGATTGATGTTATTTTGTTTGATTAAACATAACATTGACGATGAATTTTGGTGTGTTACCTTAAAGTTGTATCCTAAGCAAATTCTGGCTTTTATACACTTTGGATTCAGGTGAATTGCTCTCAAGAAATCTTTCTGTGCTTGTTTACAACCAGCCTCATGTCCATTTTCCATGTACGAATTTCCTCGTCCAACATAGGCATCCACAGAAACAGGATCTAGTTTGAGAGCCTGGTCAAATGATCTCACAGCTTCTTCAAACTCATTAAGTCTAAAAATAGAGATATTAATGTTTGCTGTTTAAAGTTTCTATAAACAAAATTCATAATTTATGAATAATCAGCAAATACTACCCCATAATGCCCATTGAAAGTAGTTCAATTCTGACTGAAAGGGACACTTTTCTTTTTTCCTTAAGTTTGCTTTCTGTATGTGCTCCCTGCTCTTTATAACATTGAAGGTAGTCTGTGTAAGACCTTGCAGACTTCAGTTTGAATTCCTTAGCCTGAGAAAGAAAACAGCTAAACTCTCATTAACTTTTGCTGGGCCAAGATTTCACTTTTCCAACAGTTGCACTCAACAGAGAGACTTTATCTGAGTCATTCATGCTGTCCAAATGTCATGACCAAACATGTTTTTGGTAGTCTTTTCAGACACAGATGTTTCAGCCATAAATAATTTACTTCTAATACAAGCCTTCTCTCTGTTTTTTCTCATTCCAATTCTTGAACTTATCCAAACGATGCTAAACTTGCAGGGTAAAGAGACGATATTCAGGGTTCTAAGCAAAGACCATGCTGGTCTAAGAGTAAGCCAAATGTAGAACTCCATTCTTAGATAAAATTTGATGCACCTGAGGTATACCAAGTAGGAGTAAAAAGGACTAAATACCTGTCAATGAACGCTAGTAAGTATCTTTACACATAAAGCAAAAACTTTAACATGTCAAAGTACAAAATTGTTTTACCAAGAAGATACTGAAAGATAAGGTATTGTTCAAATATAAGCTACACGTGTCTACCTGAAGCACAGCCTGACTTCTTTACCAAAAGAGGAAAGATTAAATATATTTAGCTAACAAATAACTTTAAGGGTTATAAACTAAATGCTTTTTAAAAGTTGCAACAACAACTGAGGGCTTCATTCCAAATTTTTTTGATAGGCAGTCATGAGGTTAGAGACTACAGGATGAATCCCAAATGCATCTTAAAATGGGTTATATAGCTGAGTTATATAGTTACTAGGGACTCCTTTTGCCAGTTGAATACAGACATGGGCACCAAAATCATAGGCTTAGTTCTTAGAAGCAGGATTCAACATTGCTGTATGAGTTCTACATCATCCAGACACTGAAAGATGGAGTCAGTTATGCCCTAAGTCCAGGCATAGTAACACAAAAAGTTTTGATGCTACAGTCCTGAGTATGTCCACCTCCACACTGCCTTAGCAGCAACAAGGTTAAGCAGTGATCAGTGGCAGAATAACTGTAGAATAAAATAGATTAGACTAAACCAATAGGTAGATAGCACTTAAAATTTCCTTTTTATTATAGGTGATATTTGTGTGAAATAGGAGCTATCAACTCCAAATGCCACTAGGATAAGTAGACTAAGATACTAATGTACATCTTATTTCTTCCAATGCATATCTATTTTAAGTGAGTAACAGATTTAATTTAGTCTTTCTAAATAAACCTCATCTTGATGAAACTACAGTTTAGAATTTCCAAATAAAAAATCCAGGCAAGGAAGACCATTGAGGCTTTTGCTTTTCTTTAAAGGACAAAAATGCATATTTAAACAGAAATTGCACCCTAACTAATTCTGAACAAACCAACCCAACTCTGTTTATCTCAGAATTCTTTGTTCTTCATTCTTTCTCTTGGTTCTATTTTATCATCCTAGTATTTCCTCCTGATGCTGTCATCAACACATAGTAGCTTGATTCCAGAAGATTTTAATACCAGTTGTTAAACTTGCAAAGTATCTAATTTTCTTTTTCCCATTCCTCTTTACCATTTTCCCCTCCCACAGTTCTCAGCATACTCTATACAAAAAGGTGAAAGGGAATATAAAGCTCAGGAATTATTTCATTTTTCTACTCTCCATCAGACAAAACTACATATCTTACCTATGATAGCAGATTCCAATAGCTTGAAAGACCTGGCTATCATATGGACTAAGCAACGTTGCTTCTTTAAAGTCCTGAAAAGAACAGATATCAAACCATGCAAACTGATATTGTTTCACTTCACCTACAACTGTGGTTTTAGCTAAACAATTTTATACTTCTATATAAAAACAGAGATGACATCTGACAAAGGCATTATACATTCAGAAGTACTGGAGATGTATTTAACTGCTTTTATACTTCTTGTCCCAGACTTTGAAAGAATAAAAATCTTCAAAGTTATGTGGTATCATGGTATTTCCTACAAAGCTGGAGGCAACATTTCCAGAAACAAAACCTTCCAGAAATATATTTTTTGTTTGTTTTTAATGGAAATACTGTACCTCAGCTGCTATTATTAAATACATATATATTAAAAATATATTGTGCTATATTCAATTTCAATAGAATTATCCCAATAATAAAATTATGTAGTTACTTTCTGTTATTACTTTGACAAATGGAGTAAACCAAACTCATATTTGCATTAGGACACTCTATGCACAATGTTCCACTGAAAGACTTCATAGGGCTTCTGACTTTTGCCTTTCACTAACATTCAGAACATTTTTCAAAATGCTTGCGGTTTTGATATATGTGGTTCAACTGTAAAAACTGTACAGGTGCTTTTAAAATCAAATACAATCATTTCAATTATGATGTAAGGAAGCCCTTTAGGCTTCTGCATGGGAAAGCAATCAGTATGTAGTAGGAGTGGTTTAGCTGATGCATCCACTGAACTACAACTTAGAAAGCATTTACTTGTTCAAGTTGCAAAAATAAAATTACGTGGAAGATTTTAGTACTTTTGGAATTGCAAAAGTGGCAAAATAATGATATGCATATATATATGTATATGTTAATATTTTGTTAAAATAAAACCTCTCTTTTGGTGAACATGCTATCATAAAATTATAGGTCTGTTTTTAAAAAACTACTGGGACACACTGTTCCCATCCAGCAAAGCCTTTCAAAGAATACCCAGCAAAGATAATGGGATTCTTCATGTGCACAATTTGGAGTATACACTCTGCTCTGTGTATGGAGCAGAGCAAAATCAGGGTCAGAGTTCCAAGGACCAGGTTTGGTTTACTTAAACCAAAGGTGCTATCCTTACAGGTAACTGCACATTTCACAGAATCAACAGGAAAAGACACTTCTATGTAGCAATTCAGATCTTATATAGACTGAATTTTAACTTTTCCTTTTTCTTCCAGTGTACCCAATTCAGGAATACACTCACTTCAAGTAGTATGTATCTGTACTTAAGTAATTACGTCCTAATTCAGCCAGCACTATATGCGTATACAGATGTACTCCTTGCAGTAAAATATTATCAGAACTGACACATAAGAAGGTCTCAAGCATATTTGTAATCACTAATGTTTTTCTTAAATAAGCTGTTATTTTTTGTGTCTGTTGTTCAATTACCATTGTGTATATTTGCCTTCACTACAATCCATTCAAAGAATTTCTTGCTCATCCTGCTGGTTCTGCCCCAGTCTCTTTCAACTGGCCTTACGTATCAGTTTGTACCACCTCAACCTCTTTTCTGAACTATTCTGATCAACTGCACCTTGAAGCATAAAAGACCAATAACACAATATTTCTACTTAAATTATTTCTGTGCAAGGTCTACCAACTGTAAAGAGCTTTTGTTGTGCACTTCCAGGTCATTGGAACAGCATTCATATTCTTTCTTCATTTTTTATTTGCAAATAAGAAATATTACTCAATTTTTAGAATGCCTATACTGAAATTGTTGCTATCACATAAAGAAGGTAACACATTTTAAAGTCACTAGTCCACGATGGAAGCAATGAATGCACCAGTTACACTAAAAATAAATAGCAATGCTTTTAAAAAAAAATAAAACTTTTAGAAAACTTTAAAACTATTTAAAATTTAAAAATTAAAATCCCTGTGTGTGAAAGAGTAATGTTTAACACTGTTAGGTTTCAAGCCTGCTATTGCTATACCAGATGGAGTCCCACGGAATGAAAGTCATCTGCACTGTGAGTCAGCATCAGAAACACATACTATTTTTTTTACATTTAAGAAAATTATATTGAGGTTGCACCCTTCCTGCCCTTTCAACAAAAATGGTCAGTTACACACACACACACGTACACAGAGGAACAAAACAAGCCCACTCAGTGAGAACCTCAATTTGTTTAGGCTTCTGCAATGAATTAGTACTCATTTGGACTCAACATAAATTACTTCAAGATTAAAAGAGAAGGAAAAATCAGGTTCTTGCTTATTAAATTTTGTGCAACTCCCATGTTTAACTCTAGTAGCATAAAACTGTAAAACAAGTAAAACTGCATTTTATTTGCATCTTCGCAGCCAGGCTGGTATTAGGTCTTGAGCAAATGAGAACTGGGCACAAACTATTTCAGAAGAATATAAAAGCTGTCAAGCTGGTCTTTATATCAGCAATGGCTTATGTTTAACAGAAAACTCTAAATTTCCTTTACTCAAAGAAGGATTTCTGTACCTCACATGCATTAGTATAATCACCAAGTTCCACGTAGAGTAGTCCACGATTAATTAACACTTTGAAAGCTATTTCCTTACTCAATTCAAGCAGAAGAAGAATTCCATAATCTTTCAAGGCCTACAAAAACATAAAATGTATTTTAAACCATAATTTATTCAGAGGGATAGGATGATACTTCAAAATTTAAAAGACACGCTTTCAAATTCCTGCAAATCATGTGCTTAAGCACAGACTTCAGTGTGGCTATTCCAATGTTTCACTGTTTCCACATTGAATTTAACTGAATTTGGAGCCTCCTGTAATTACATAGATACCCATTCCTAAAGAACGGAAGCAAAGATAATGCAAATATATTAACTAGACATAATTAAAACTTATTTTGCCATTATATAAATTTCAGAGTTAGAAATAAATCTTAATTACTTCTACTGCTAAATTTTATGTCCAAATTCTTATTAAAAAATACACAACAAATTATTCTAGATTAATTCATCATTAATTAATGTCAAAGTAAGGTACTTTTAAAATTAAGCATCTTCAAATATAAGTTATTGTTATTGAGAAATCTAAACACTAGTTGTATTAACTAAATTTGGGTGTAAATTTTGTAAAAGAGCAAATAGTGATATGATTAGGTAGACTGAAGAAGCCTCAATTCTCAAATTTATCAAAACTGAACAGTATTTTAACAATGCTTGATCTGAAGAAGTTCTAGCCCAACTCTTTTTTGACCTGAAGATTGAACTCATATAGTATACTTAAGAATAACTAGACAGTTTAGAGGTAATATGACAAAAATGTCCTTGATTGCATTATTCCATCTACTAGCCACTTAAGAGAAGTTCTATTCTTTGTCACTTCTAAACTAAGCTAGATATTAGAAACAGCTTTAAAGAAAACAACCCAGTTCTTGTTAGATCTTGTAAATTTCTTCTGTCAATAATATACTACATTTTTTCTGCAACTTCCCTTGTACTTTAAGTGGCTTTTCTGGAGAGTGATAGCAAAGAACAACTTTCATAATACCTTATTTATGAAGGAACTATCATTTTCACATCTTAAACTTCTACCTTCCGTTACTGTAATCACCTATTTTTCTTTACCCATCTGCATCATTCTTGGCCAATTAACCTCTAAGCACAAGTGGCCTTTGCCCAAGGTCGACTTGACTTGAGACATCTGAGCTTAAATACTTCAGAACTAACTCTGTCTTGGAAAACAGGCCTCATCAAAAAGACAGTTCAACATCGTTGTGTTCCCAGCCTGATCCTTCATAGGGCCTTTGTGCACCCTGTTGTGCCTTTGCTTTATAACAAAGGTAGAAAGCAGAAACGCTCAGAGGCAGCTCGCAGGCAAGTTGACAGAAGTATCAACATGTCCAGAAAAACAGGACTATGAAAGAGGGTTGGATGTAGTCCAAATCCCCATTTTGAGGTAGTCTTCTTCTGGATATAGTTCTTATATTTTCAAAGGGATATCAAATGCAATTAATATGATAGTAGAGACCAAAAAAAACATTTATTTTAAACAATTTCCTGAAGAGCACAATCATTCAGGAAGCCATTGCAAGAGGTCATAAATTTAGACTAATTGTCAATAACAGGTTACTAGCTAATACGAACAATTGAGTGCTCATGTGATGTTGAAAAAATTAATACCATACTTTTTTGAAGTCCTTTATTTGATGATAACAGACGGCTCTGCTATAATATGCCAAAATGCAGGTTTTGTTGAGGTCAATAGTTTTTGAAAGATCTTCAATTGCAGCTTTAAAGGTCTGCAAATGAAAAAACATTATGAATAAATTGTAATTCAGAGTTCATGGTACTACATATGCTTCCTCAAATAATAGCATATTGTAAAATCTTATTTCACAGTTCTACATTTTGGTTCTTCATTAGTACTGGAAGGCATCCAACCATTTCACTATGTCCTCTATGGACTACTTACTGCAGTCCTTACGGCAGTGGGAGTACTTCTTCAGAAGCTCTATTTGTGCAAAGACTGGGCAAACAAACATTCTTAGTGTTTTCTTACATCACATCCATATACTGCAATACATAATCGATCCTTAATTTTACTAGCTTACATTTTATATCTTAACCTAACATAGAAAGTATCTTTTGTGGAGTTTTGGTACTTCTGTCTATCACTAGGTAAGAATCTATTCCATGGAACTTAAGAGGAGAATAACCAGATAGATTTCCAGTAGCTTCTCCAACCCATCAATCATTTTCAGTTACACAGAACAACCAGAGAGTAGCTTCAATAGGGAATGGGAAGTATAATAATCAGGTGGAATTCCTGGTTTCCATTAGCAACACTTCTACCATTATTTCACCATTGTCAAGTGTCAAGTAAGGCACATTATAAGTTTTAAGGGAGAATGCAAAAGTACAACAACAAAGACAGTCCCACCTTATTCTGATACTTTAAAGTTCCTCGGTAAAAATAAGCTCGCGCACTGCTAGGCAGAATTTTGATCGCCTCATTGCAATTCAGAATTGCCTTAGAGTATCTACCTTTACTTCCATAGTAAGCAGCACGACTCATATATGCCTGTAGAGATGAAGACAGAATGATGACATGGTAGAAAACAGCTTTGTTTAGCATTATAAAACAAAGGTTAAATAGAAGACAGAAATTACAAGTTTATAAAAACATACATCTTACAAAGCTTGTAATTTCTTTTATTCAATGCTTGCCATGTGCTTGCTGGCAGATTACAAGGCAATACACCCATAAATGCAAAACCTTTCAGTCTTTGAACCCATCCAAAAAATCTCCCACAGAACCAAACTATCAGGAGTCTTTATATTACCTGGAAATGTGATGGACAAAGAGCAAGTGCTTGATTGAAATCTCGGATGCACGTAGCTTGTCTGAGCTGCATTCTACACAGCCCTCGCTGATAAAAAGCATCAGGGTAACTTGAATGTAGTCTGATAGCCATACTAAAAGCATCATGGGCCTAAAAGGATGACATATCATCAGGGTTAAATATGGTCTGTTTGTTCAGCTGAAACCATAGCCTAACTAACTGATTCTTTTGTACAGCTAGATATGACCTATTTTTGCAGTTGGAACCCACCGTGTACCTGCATTGTTTTTTATCACTTTCATCCATTTACTGCTACTTAAAATTTTGTAACATTTAACACCCTACCTAATGCAATCATAACCTCAAGGAGGCACAACCTAACTCATTTAATAATCTCATTTCTTCAGTGAGACTGCAAAAGTTTAACCACGCACATGGTCTTCTGTCTGTAAGAGATGAAGTAGTGAAGTTGTTTATTTTGACGGACAATGGATTAACATGGCTAGTATGCAACTCCTTTAAAATACATCCAGATACTTTTTTCCTCTACATTGTACATTAGGTTACAAAGTCATGGGCTTTTCCAGGATCTACAGCTGTAATATCAGATGTACGTTGACACAGAAAGTCACGTTTTGCAACTGTCATGTATTACCACATTAGATATCTCAGACAATTTTGACAGCCTTCTTCCAAAAGAATATCACTTTTGACAAATGGGGTTGGAAGCAGACAAGGCAAGAAATTGTTCTCTTCCCTGTGAAATTTTGTTATTTCAAATGTTTCTAGTTTCTTTCTTGAGCCTTTTAGCAAATCAAAAACTGAAACATTTATTAAAATATCAACACAGAAAACATTTGCATGAACTCACACTAGGCCTGCCACAAAGTTCATTGGTAAGCTTTCAATAGTTTTCAACAAAGTCTCTAATACAGTTAAAAGTATTGATTTGTTGAAAGAAGGGAAGTATATTTTTCTTAGGTAATGCAGTTTATTTCTTAAGTGTCATACATAAGTGCCACAGAGAACCAGCTAGGGGTGTTATGAGCTACAGTAATATAGAAAACCGTTAACAAATTACAAACAACTCCATAATACAATAAACTAGGAATTCCTTTGTCCAAGTTTACTACCAATTCACTAAGCCACCAATACTCCTACATGAGTGTTGTTTGTCTGTAAGATCTGTGAAGACATTGATAAACACAAAAGAAATTAACGTTCTTTATTCCATCAGAATGGCAATTAATGACATACATTAAAAAAGATCATAACATTAGTGCTGGAAAAATGACTCACATGTTTGCAAGACAGTCTAATGTACATCATGAATTCAAAAGAAAATTGCTAAAGGCAGTGGAGGCTGTTTAAAAATGTTGAAATAATTCGCTCAGTTATGGTGGTTGTTTACAAGCAGTGGAGTCAAAGGCTAATGTATTCTATATAATTAACACCAACCCGTAATAAACTTTTTTGTTCCATGTAACACAGGCCTGTGAGATAATACATTTCTGCAGTCTCAAATGTATTAGGCAGGATTTTTGCTGAGGTCATCAGGAGCTTCATAGCTTTTTTAAAACTCCTCACAGCATCCTGCAATACAGAGAACATTAATAGTTGTAAAGCACTTAACTGAAAATCTGCAAGATTTTTTAGACATTTTAAATTTTATTTTTTTTTTTTTAGTCTTTCTTTGGAACGTTATGGTAAAAATGACTAGTCTAGTGTTCTTTGATGTTGCTGGAGTTGGACACACTCTTGATTTCTGAATGGTTCATATTAATAACTGATTAGAAAAACAGAAATATTGCTGAGTTTTATTTATATATGACAAAGTAGCTAATGTACATGATCTAGAAATAACATCCAGTTCATTTATACCATTACTTAGGTACATATTTAATTATAATTATTTATTCATTTTACTTATATTTATTTCCTCGGGAAGAAGAGATATACCTTTTGATGGAGTCTGACAATAATGAAGTACTTGTTACAGGTTTCTTTATGTAAATAATGACAAACTATTTACTCCATAGACAACACACTAAATTTAATAACCATTAAGAAATATATCAAAAGGATCAATCCTGTATAGGTATTGAAGGAACTTAAGTGAATAGCCTCTCAGAATTTTACCATGTCTCATAGATCTGGGCAGTAATTTATGCATATTTAATAATGTTTTGGTTTAAAGGAGAGTGTAAGGAGAACAATCAAAAAAATTAAGAACAGTCCAAGATAAGCCATTCCTTAGCCTTTGAGGATTATGAAGGGACCACAGTTGAAAGTTTCAATATCAAGAAGAGTAAAAGAATTACAGCATTTTGTTTCTTAAGCAAGTCTTTCGAGCTAAAGAAGTATTTGTTTAGAAAAATCAGTTTGAATACCAGTGCCCATAGGGCTGTCTGCAAATACTACACCTGTCTCCCTAAGTTGTCGGGGTAGTAGAAGTTTTAAACAAAACAGGTCTGCATTCACTGCTATTTAAAAATCATTTTTTCTCTATACCTACATCCAAAAATACTCATATTTTAAAACGAAAAGGAACTGCAGATACTTGAACTCACTCACATATAATTCTAAAGGCACAGCAGGGCACTATAGCCTGAAGTCTGATCATCTTCCTATATCGAGAGTATTGTGTTATTCCTCTCCAGAAGAGGTAGCAATGCAAGTCCTCACCTCTGGGTGAAGCACTCTGAGAAATCAGGGAATGACTCTAACACACATCCTCTTAACCACGACAACTGAAATGAGTTGTATTGGAGCGTACTAATGATCAGTATATTTGACTTAGCATTCTTTCTATAACAGCAAAACTAGTAATGTCCCATTATGGTTTCAGACAAATAAAACACCCACGCCTAATGAAAAAAGCTGAATGGATCAAGAGGTTTTATCTGGTACAAGCCCAGGGAGCAGGAGCATAATTTTTGCAAAGTGAACGCCTTTTCATTTAAAAAGAACCTGAAAACATGAGGCTAAGAGGAAACAGAAGGACTATGCCTTTCAAACACAGAACTCAATAGAAAGGTAGATTCAAGGTTTTATGAATCTACCTGTTGCTTGCTGTTATTGTGTTTAGGGAAACAGGACTCTGGACATTTTCTATAAACAAACAGGACTGTACAAAAAGAAACAGCTAATCCATACTCCCAATTTCAACAATTCTGCAGGCCTCAAATATTGGCTAACTGCAGGACTCAGAGTAGTGACAATATTGGTTAAACCCTACAACATATGAATATTCACAAAGTTGAGAAAACACCTGTAACTATACATTATACATTCAGTTCACATACCTGAATTAAACTTTTGTACTGCATTTTATTAGACAAAAAATGCTAGACATATTTCTGTATTATTTTATTTCAAAAGAAGCAAAATCACTACATATAATGGACCTCAATCTACATAATTGTATCTTTTAATTGATCACCTTAAATGTTTTAAAACTAAAATTGTCTAATTCATGCTGAACTATTAGTGCTGTTGTTGAAAATTCTTACTCAGGTCTTCTTATAATTTAAACAATGAGGTACTCTGAAGGTTTATTTATCTATTAGCACGTTTCATAAAATCTTAAAAGAATACAGAAAGAAAAACATTGTCTTGCTTGGCATATATATAATGTAAACTTTTCTAACCTTAGTTTTCTTGGCTTTCATTTGTATTTTTCCTAAAATAACAAACATCGAAGGCTCAGGTTGAGTTGCAGCAGCTTCATGTAAGCACTCTATGGCCTTATTGTGATTTTGACAAAATGACTGAATGAGTGCTTGCTGAACAGGCTGAGACATAAAGGATTCTGGAAGGAAACCACCATGAAAAACAATAATCTCTTTTACTTCAACCTATATGTTTTCCAGTATAAAATACCTTTAAATGATATGCAAACTTTAAAATACTATTAAAATATTTGGAGTATCAAAGATTGTTTTAACATCCATAAAAATACAAATGTAAACAAAATTCCTACAAAAGTCTGAAGTTGAAGTTTATCAACGTTTATCAAGTTTATCAACGAGTGTAGTTTGATTGCTAAACATCTGCAAATATTTACCTCCCTTTCCCCACATCTAAGAAGGCTTTGCTCTGCAGAAGTATCACCATATGCCTGCTTTGTTTTTATATTCTTGTGTGCCCTGTGTATCCACTCTTGGTCACTACCAGAGACAGGAAATTAATCTTATACAGTATGGCTATTCATATGGATCACCAAGAGCTTCAGGATGCACTGAACACTGCCATTTTATGCCCAGCACATAACAAGAAACTACTGTACTGCAACATTTTTACTGTTCAAACACATTGGGAAGGTTCAGTTCCAAAGCTATTTGATATTTTGTTAGGAAAGACTGTACATAAGAACAGAACAGAATCCTTACTCAATATTCCTTTAAAGCAGAAATTACCAATATTGAAAGGTAGAAATAAAAAACAAGAACTCAAAAGATAAAGGAAATTCTGAAATCACAGGTGATAATACAGGCAATAGTGCACAACATTATTACCTTTAAAGGCTTCAGACATGCAAACAAAATACTCTAGATAATAAGTTCCTATATTTTAGCTGATTCATAGTAACTAACCTATTTGCATGCTTGAACTTAATTTTTTTGAACAATTCCTTGGTTACAGACTGTTGCCATGGTTCACAACTACCTAGGAAAACTGATGGAAATTGACATTACCTTCATCCATTTCTGCAAGTTGGTGAATACATAAACTTGCCAGCTCATCTTTCTTCAACTCCATTAAATACTGTCCCCTGTAATGAAATATTTGTTGGGTGTAATTAGTAAAACTATTTCCAGGCATTTCTTTCAAAGTGCAAATACTACTGAAATATGTTTTCACTAGTATAAAAAGAGAAAAAGGAAAAATAATGCCTTCCAATAAAAACATCCAAAGTTTTTCCCTTTTTTTAATCAGAAATATCTGAAAAATTTTCAATTTTTTCTCTCACATCACAGTACCAAGAAATTATATGCTTACCTCTCTTCAGACTATAGGAGTTAAAAAATACATTTTCTTTGGATTCCACAGATAGTAATCCTTACAATCTCAAGAATGGCAACAATAATCTTAATAATATTGTTTGTAAAATCCACCACAGACTGATAGCTGATAGATACATTCCGTTTTCAAGGACAATTTTTTGCCTCTTCAGATATCGGCATCAGTATAAGAGGTTATGCTAGCCAAACAACACTGAGAGACAAGCTGAGCAAACCCACTCCTAAAACTGGGAAAATACAGTATTATTGACTGGAACATAGTAACTAATTCTCTTAATACACCTGAGGAATAATATCCTAGCATTTCCTCCTTAGTTCTTACAGCTTTTCAGGGGAGGAAACAGGTTTATCTAGTAATTTATTTTTTAGTCTTGGTAAAGGTCACTACTTCTCACTGGGCTGAAGATGGGGAAGAAGAATAGTTCGAACCTAAATTGGCCTGGACTTAATCCTCCACATTCTTTCCATCATGTGGATTCTGCAGACAAATCAGTGAAGGACCCATCCACTTGGGGAAAACATTTAAAATTATTAAATTTTTAAAGGTTCAGACTTGCTTTTTTTGTCACGGCACCTATTTACTTCTTTTTCCCCAGAAACTACATGTACCTCAAAGAGCAGAATCCTGTATATGAAACAAGGTTCCTCCCTCCAAGGTAACGATTACGATAGTTGGGTGACACTATGCAGATTAAGTTCTTCAGGTCTGGAAATGCTATGAAAATACTACATTTTTTTAAACCCATTCAGAGCAGGTTTCAAAGAATACAAGGCTATCTCCCAAGAGCATTCCAAATGGAATTTTTTTTAGAAGTGAGGTATCTGTGCAGTTCTCAGCTAATCACTTTCCTACCTTAATATGCAAAGTTGTGATTTATTTGGATAAAGATGAATGGCTCTGTTTATATCCTTCACAGCATTTGGTAAATTATGAATCTGCAATTTATAAAGAACAAACAGCAATTCAATTGCTAATATGAACACAATTCGGAAACACAATTACTATTTCTATAAATGTAGTTCTGCAGGATGCAATACCCACATAGTAACAACTCACAAGGCACATATGCCCTCTATAAAGGAGCTCAACATGTTTTTAACAAAGGTCTGAAACATTTACGCTACAAATTTCCATACTTTCCCACAGGGTAAATCCAAACTCCAGACAGTTTCTTTACTTTTCCAAAATCCAAAGAAGAGTCTGGACTATTGGGAAGGAGACTAGGTCATGAGATCCACATGCACATATGTCCTGATGAATCTTCATTGCTGTAATGAATTTGTATTTATTTTTTCAAGTGTCTGTGCATGTGGTCCCATTCAGCGTGCATCAGATGCTAAGGAGAAAGGAGATCATTACAGTGAAGATCCCAAGGACTGATTCATCCAGCTCGGATAGCTGCTAACTCAAACTCTCACTAAAGAACAGCATTGATGGAAGGCATGTACTGAGCTTTATTTTACTGCTTTACATTGAAATTTAAAAAGAAAAAAAAAGGCCAAAAAAAAACCCCACAAAAAAACACACACACAAAAAAAACCCCTACAAAAGCAACCTGAGCATTAGTGGATGACCTCCAATATAAACTATCAGGCACAAGTTCTTAAAAGACAATATCAAAAAAAAGTATATCACTAATCCACTTAGACTCTGAGTTAAAAGCCATTTCCTTTAGTTGTAGAAGAAAAAGAACAGTATGAGCAATTTCTCAAAACATTTTGAAAACAAACTAAGCACTGTGAGACACAACAGTTGTTTGAATTCTGCCAATGAAATCTACACAACTTAGGTCACTTTGAATACTCCATTCCTTGTACTCCTGAGAGGGTCTCAAAAACCCAACTGCTAGCACAAATTATTCTCACATCCCATGCAGAGGTAGAATACACTCTGTTTCACAGTAAATTAAAATACTGAAGATGTTTTCACTTCCATTTATGGGGAAGAAAATTTGAGTTTCCTGAAAAATAAGTATTCTCAAGAAAATTCTGTTTAGAAAACACTGTATTTCAAAATATGGGGGTTTATATTTTAAAAATACATACTTAAAAAAAATAGTTTTGAAATATATTTCAAAAAAATTTATTAAAGCTCAGATTAGATGTACACTGATGTAGAAAAGATAAAATGACACTTGAAATATTTTGTGTCATTGCATTACATGGCAACAATATTCTACAATTGCAATGCATGTAATTCCATTATGCTGACAAGGACTACTTGAAACATATAGCTATAAGCAGGTTCTAACACCTGTATAGCACCAAGGCATAAGTATTAAAATCCCCACAACAACAATAAATATAAATAAAGCTATATTAAGTGGCAAACAAAAGCAAAAGGAATTTATTACCTTATGATATGCTTGCGCTCTGCATACATAGGCTCGAACATTGAGAGGATCAATTTCAATGGCATTAGTAAACTGTCGAATAGCTTCATAGCATTGATCAAGATGCAAGAGCAGTATCAAACCAATATTTAGGTAAGCAAAGATGACAGACCTAAAAACAGAATATTCTTTCCTTTTGTTATTGCACAAAATATGTCATTGTATTAACCACAGCTTACACCAGCTTCATCTACTTTTATGACATTTACCACACATCTATTTTGTGATCACACTGAGCTAAAGAACTGTAATTGCCAGCAGAGGAGATAGCTCATTAAAAAAACCCACCATTTCAGTAGCTTGAAAGCTAGAAAGCTTGAAAGCTTCATTAGAGGCTCCCTGTTCACCAAAACCAAAAAAAGCATTCCAAATGTGAATTGTGAAGAAATGATGACAAGTCTCTGTCGTAGAAGCTGGACTAGAAATAGAGCTAGCTGGTAATTTTGTATATACTGAATAGACCGAGAAATACTGAATTCTTCAACACTAAAAACACATTGTGGTTTTAAAAGACTGACAAAGCTTACACATTTGCCATCTAGCCTGTCCCTTATTTTCTATCATTTCACTTGGCTAGCTGCTAGGGAGACCTGGGTTTCCAAGATCTGCAATATCTTGTGCAGCCCACTCTTGCAGACTGTTTTTAGGCAAAGTTCAAGACTTCTTATAGCAGAACCAAGACAAAGGAAGAGCTGAGGAGTCTTTAGGCCTGCCACAGATTAGAATGGGAGCCTTTGCTCAAGACAGGACTGTTGAGGTTGCCCAAGACTGAACAAGAACTCAGTACCTTTAGAGTAAGGCAATTAATGCAGCTAACTGGTATGGGAGGCTTGTTGCATATTGTAATGCCATTTGCATGGCAGGGCTGCTACAGATATAATCTGTTTCTTAAGTATTTTTAAGTGGTAGGAAGAAATGCAATTCAGACAAACATCAGCTTCAGTCATCAACTATCAAGGACCACAAACAGCATTTTTAAAAATTTTAGTTCAGGGACACCATTTACTAGCTTTTGCTAAAGAAACCATTGTGGCATTTTCTTTTGGGGAAAAAAAAGGTAGTTTGACTTTTTACCTGCATTGTGGACATATTCCCTCCCAAAAGACTAACGAAATTATTATTGGCGTGAGTAGTCAACTTTACTTAGGACTTCAGTTTCATCTTTTGTCTGCCAGACCTGAATAATTTATTTGGCAAGTTGCCATGTAAGGCAAAATAAAATTTAATTTTTAAATATATTAATAATTATTTTTATTATACTCGGACTATAGTAAATGAGGCAAAAGATACTAAAAGAAGACATTATGGTTTTGTGTGGTTTAATTCTAGTCTATTTGCTGAATAATGGTTCTGATTCTACTTTCCTTTATTAGTACTTTTATGCCCCCCAGATAATCAGAATACAAACAACATATATTAAAATTCTCAAGTCCAATCACCTGTCCAAAGCTAGGACACTTTCAAAGTCACAGATTGCCAGGGACCATTGACACTGTTCTGAGTAAACAATCCCACGATGAAGAAAAGAACAGAAATTTTCCTGAGTGTCATTGATGAGTACTGTGGGAGAGGGAGAATAAAAATCAGCTGTTCAGATATTCACATATATTTCAGTTACTCCATGCAACTTATTTGCACATTACTTCTTACTCTAGTTTTCTTAGAGTTTTATAAAATATCATAGATAAACCGTAACAAAACATATTAGATCACAACAGAAACTGTTCATTGTGGCACGAAATACCTTCAAGACATATTTGTAATTCTCAGTTACACCCACTTGAATTGTTAAAAGTGAAGCAGAAAAGCTTAGGAAGCAGAGGCAAAATAACTGAAGAAAAACAAGCAGCAAGAGTCGATGTCTGTATTGGGTCTGGCTGAGATGGAGTTAATTCTCCCCATAGCAGCCCTCATAGCACTATGCTCTGCATCAGTAACTAGAAAGGTGTTGATAACACACCAGTGTTTTGGCTACTGCTGAGCAGTGCTGGCACAGCATCAAGGCTGTCTCTCCAACATTTTCGCCCCCCTCAATGGCAGGCTGGGGCTGGGCAAGATCTTGGGAGGGGACATAACCAGGACAGCTGACCTAAACTAACCAAACAGATATTCTAAACCATATGACGTCAGCTCAGATATAAAAGCTAAGTAAAGGGAGACAGAAAGGAGCCATTTTTGTTTTCTGGAGCAACCACTACGCGTACTGAAGCCCTGCTTCCCAGGAAGCGGCCAGACATCACCTGCTGATGGGAAGTCGAGAATAACATCATTTGTTTTTCTTTGCTTTCACTTTATTAAACTGTCCTTATCTTGACCCACAAGCTCTTTGTTATATTTTCTCTCCCCTGTCCAGCTGAGAAGGGGGAGTGATAGAGCAGCTTTGGTGGGCACCTGGCACCCAGCCAGGGTCAACCTACCACAATGTCTAAGAGCAAACTTAATAGAAATGACAAAGAGCAAGTTATTACCAAACACTGAATGACAACCATACATTTTAATGTTTGCAACATGAAATACCTGTGTTACATTGCAGTACAGTAATTACTAGTGAATTGTCATTCTTTTTAATGATAAGCATACACACCATTAAAAGAAACAAACAATACCAGAAACACTGAAGTCCTGCACAGCTTTTTTTGGATCAATTTGTCGTAGTATGCAACCTCTATAGTAGAATGCTAACCAACAAGAAGGGTCTAGATGAACCGCTGCTGCTAAGTCCTGTATTGCATTTCTGTACTGTTGCTGCTTAGCATATGCTCTTCCTCGATATAGCCTAATAAGGAAGAAAGTTTCTCTTTAAATATAATTTCCCTTAGAAAATTATACCTACAGAATGAAGTCACAATGTGAAGTCATAGACTATTATTTGTAATATTAACAGGTTGAGTCAACTTAATATCAAGAGTTCTTCCACTGTTTTTGTCATGCTACCTTCAAGTAATTATTCAGGAAAAAACTGTAGAAATATAGAATAAACATTCAATTTTATTTCTGAATTTAATAAAGCAAGTCTGAAGTAACAAAGCCTGGTAATCTATACTGTATAGGCAGATCACTGCACTTGCATAAACCAAGTTCAATATAATAGAACTCTGTATCAGCTTTGGACATCACAGAGTTGAATGGAACTCTCCAAGTTCCATAGTCTATTCATGCAGCAGTTCCTGTATGGGAAATATCAGATTTTGTTAAATCTGATTTAAAAGAAAAAAAAAACCTCCCCTCATTACTATTAAAGCTTTCTGAAAACATCCATTCTATTCTTCAATATTTCTTTCAAACAGACAAGTTAACAAAATCAGATCCTACTATTTTACACTATTCATCCCTCAAATTCAGGAAGCTAGCAATATATTTAAACAAGATAAATCACAAGTACAGGTGAAAAAGTGTGAATAGACAGCAATGGCTGTCAAATTATTTTATCAATGCAAAATGTAATATATAAAACTTATCTTTTTGTATTACTGAAGATAGCTTTCACATATTAAGCAGGTCTTATGCCACATCCCACTTCTATGTAGAGTTATCATGCAAAATATATACTAATCCTTTTTCAATCTAACACAGTAAAGTCAATTCCTCAAGAATTTAAATCACGTGCTTAACACAAACACAAGGCACTTATACTCACTAGGACTATTCACAGAGCCCACACATCAACATGTAAGCCTCAATGAACTAGTGGATTTCAGGAAGCCAAATGCAGCTTTATGTTGCTTCAAGATTTTATTTCAAAGTCAGAGTCTTAAGGAACATCTGTAAATTACTTTAGTAGCACAGGAACCTAATGTCATAAGAAAGCTTTGCATGATGCTGTGGTTCCCTGTGATGAAGGAAACATGCTGACAGGTAGAAGATACACATAGGGGAATGCTCCCCTAGCCACTTCTATTCAGTTTGGATGGGGATCAGTTCCAGAATAAGACATCTGAACTTAGGTGTCAATTTGTAGATGTCTGCAACATATGTTAGGTGTCTGACTTTCCACTACAGTTGACAGAGATCTAGTCAGTACAATCCAAGGAGATGAGACCAGTTCAGTTCATCCAAAAATATACACTTACTCTCTGTTTAGCTGAACAGATCTCCAGGCCTTATAGAAGAGTCTATATTCAGTCTACCTAAAGTCTACTAACTGTATTGATTAGACTCCTTGGTGATAATGGCTGCTTAGACACCTACATCCCATGGATACAGCAAGCTGACACCTAAATTCTGGTATCATAATCTGGCACTGAATATCTGCTTTTATCTTTATTTTACCTCTATTTTCATGAATCCAGAATAGAGTATAAAAAGAATGTAAATCTTTGCAGGAATGGTATTAAGTAGAAGTCACATTTTCTAGTAGGGAAATCATATAATTTTTTTTGTTGGTCTTTGTAAGTCAAACCTCAAAATCATTGTTATAATTCAAAAATAAAGATGCTTCTCATCAATAGTTCCAATTTTTTTTCACAGAAAACATTAATTCAGCATAATGCTAAAACTAAAAGTGTCAAGGCAACCAATGGAAATTAGGCATAGAACTATGTAATCCTTAAGGACATTCTTCACTTTGAGCATGTATTTAAATCCAGTTCTTTAGAGCAAAGCACATATGCATGTGCTTAAGTCCAACTTACTCTATATTTGCATTACTCCACTGAGATCTAAGCACATGGTTCTGTGCCTAGTTAAATTAAGGTCTAGGGACTAATCCAAAGTCATTAAAAGCAATACAAAGATTCCCCAATGAATATCATGGCCTAGAAGTCTTATTCTATTTCTATTAGACACTCTTCAGAAATGCAAGTGCTTTATTATTGTTTAATGCATATTCAGTCTTTTACATATTTATATTCTTTTAATAATCCACTTAAAATTCAAATACTTTTGTCAAACTATATATTCTACCTTGCCTGAGCATTGCTGGGGTCTTCCTTGATCACAGCTGTAAAATCCTGAATAGCTGTAGGCAAAACTGAACGGTGAAAGAAATGTATTCCATGTTTCATAAGTGCATCTGTTCTTTTAGGGTTACACTGAAAACACTATAATGAAAAATTATAATGAAAAATAGTACATTATGTTACTCCTCCTCCTTCTTATTTCTAATGACTAGAAGTCTTAACCAAGCATAAAAATAATATATTATTTTATTCTCAGATTTTCTTTTTTTATGCCTTTGTCCTTTAATGTCTATTGTCATTTCCATTAACTGTAAAGTGAAATAAAAAAGTAGTGATGCAAGCTTATTAATGGCTGATAATTTGTAGACATTCAGTAATTTATTGAATTAGCTGGCAGGAGTAACAGAAATTACTTATTTATTTCCATAGCACTGATTTTTTTTAAACATCATTTATTTGAAAGGATATCTGTTCTTCAACCTACTTACCAGATATATCCAAATACAGTTTACTTTTACTAAGGCTACACAAAGTTACTACATTATTGTAACAACACAAAAAGTGAACTTACTTTGGCATAATCATCCATGGCCAATAACAATTGATTTTCCTCAAAATACAACTCAGCTCTCCTAAAATAAATGTCATCATCTGTAGGGCTGCATTGTATTGCAGAGCTATAATTGATGATTGCCAATGTATTATCACCTTGTTTCCTGTAAATTTCAGCCATTGACAGGTATGTATCTGAAACAACCACCCAAAATATAAAAGGCACTATTCAGCAGTCCAGAACAATAAGTAATTTCTTCTTTACAGGGTAATTAACACAAGCAGTAGAAATAGAACAGTAGATTATAAAACAAAATAAAAAGAAGTCCTGCTTTAATCTGAGCAACAGAACTCAGAAGTTTAGAGCTATAGCTGTGTACTCAATCGTGGAGCCCATGCAGCTGTAAACTGATAGCTCTTGCTAGATTCATGGGTACTAAAAATCTTTGCTCTCTGTAGAGCTCTGTAGAAATGGCCCATCAAGCCATTTAGTGTTGACCACAAACAAATATAAAGAGATTTAGTTTAAATGGGCCCACGCAATATTTATCCCGCTATATTGGGTCTGGTCAGGATAGAGTTACCTTTCTTTATAACCACCCATAGGGTGCTGTGTTCCAGATTTGTGACTAAAATAGTGTTGATGACACAATAATGTTTTAGCTCTTGCTGAACAAAGCTTGCACAGTAGCAAGGCTTTCTTTTTCTTTTTCCCCCACTCTGCCCTCTCCCCAGCAAGTAAGCTGGGGGTGGGCAAGAAGATGGGAGAGGACACAGCTGAGACAGCTGACCTAAGTAGGCCAAAGGGATATTCCATACCGTATAACGTCATGCTCCGCATCAAAAAAAAAAAAAAAAAAAAAAGGTAGAGGAAGAAGGGGGGTGGGGGGAAGGTTTCTTCCAAGTCCATGTCCAATCAAAATTTCCTTTGTTGCAACCTATGACCATTGCCTCCTGTTTTGCTGTGCATCTCTCTGAAGAGTCTGACTCTGTCTTCTCTGTTACCATGAATTATGTAGCTGAGAACAGATTTCCCTCTTAGCCTTACCTTCTCCCGGCTAAGTAACTCATCTCCCTCAGCCTTTCCTTATAGAACTTAGGCTCCAGACCACTGACCATCTTAATGGATTTCTAATGGACTCTCTACAGCTTGTCTCTCTCATACCAGGGGTTCCAAAACTGGACAAAGTATTGGAGGTGCAGCATCACAACCTGGGAAGCACTTCCCCTGACCTGCAGGGTCTGCTCTGTCAACCAGGTGGGATCTTCCCCTTTTAAGCTCCTCCTTCCCACTTTAAAGAGTATGGAAGAACTGGGCTGACCTGATGCACAACAGCACACTGTCTCCATTACAGGCTTGTTATCAGCTTTCCCCATTAAATCAATGGATACAATTTCCATCAGTCTTCCCTTTTTCTTTTTTTTGCATTTTTTAAAAACACACTAAAATTAAGTACTTTTTTTTGCCTTAGAAACCCAACTTATGTTCCAAGCCTTTGAAGATTCATGTCTGCTTTATATAACATGCATAAAACAACTGACAAGGTTAAAGACATACAAAAACATTTGCAGAACTAAGGCCAAAGGCAACTAGAGAAAAAACACTATGAAAAATTAACTCTTAAGTTACACTTCAGTAGTTACTTACCTGCTTTATTTTTGCTCCATTTAGTTATAAAATTCAGGTCATCAAAAGCAGCAGAAATTCTGTCTTGAAAGAGGTAAATCAAATGTCTATGCCAGTAAGCATCAAGCAGCAGTGGTTCTAGGCTTATAGCCTATAAACAAAATTAGTAAATATTTTTTTTATATTGCAGAAGGAACTTGTCAAATGTGCTAACAACAGTACATAGGAAATGAGAAAATTTTTGCACTGAAATTGTTATTACTATTTTTTAAGAAAATTCCTAGACTGACAAACTTTAATTTAACCTAAAAATCTGAAAAATTTTACTAATGTCACTTGTTTCTTTAAAAGAATCATGTACTTACGCATATGCAGAATCAGAGTCCAAGCTACCAGAATATTCAGCACAAAATATTAATCAGCTGGGATATTATCATGCTTGATGATTTCTTTAAAATAGTTATCTGAACTATTTCTAGAAATCAGAATTCTTCTATTTGAAAGTGTGGTGGTTTAACCCCAGCCAGCAACTAAGCACCATGCAGCTGCTCACTCACTCCCCCCCACCCAGTGGGATGGGGGAAAGAATTGGAAGGAAAAAGGTAAAACTCATGGGTTGAGATAAGAACAGTTTAATAGGACTGAAAGGAAGAAAATAATAATGATAGTAATAACAATAATAAAATGACAATAATAATAAAAGGATTGGAATATACAAAACAAGCGAAGCATAATGCAATTGCTCACCACTCACCAAACAATGCCCAGTTAGTTCCCGAGCAGTAATAACTCCCACAGAGTAATATCAACATGAAAGATCTGGTTAAATCTTGCATTATCAAGCATTCCAGTACAAGGATTCTGAACCCCAAAGCAGCTGCTGAGGACTGCCTCTCCAAACACCAAATGCTATGTTAAAAGCCGAGATGTTGGTTAAGGAAAGAAGCACACCTTTTGCTCTACAACATTATATATAGGATGAAGTACTTTGGGGTCCCAATCTGCTTATGACTAGCTGTGTGTAATAAAAATGTTAAATGACAATGAAAATACTATACCGAAAGTACAACACATAACTTCTCTACCCAGGTTTCACAAACATACAGAACTATACCTTTGCTTAAAGAATGCCTTTGAAAGCTTTTACAGCTTCCAAGCTTAAATTCTAGACTTTAAAAACCTTCTTTTTATTTCTGTTTTTTTCAGCAACATTTTCATTGTTTTGGTTGTTTCTTTCCAGTTGTGCAGGGTATTGGGTGGAAGTAATGGCAGGTTTGTAGCACTATAAAGGGAACTTAAAAGTGTTGAAAAAATAAGCATACATAGAAAAACACTAGTAGTATTGTATAAAATCTTATTGTCAAATGATAGTTTAAACAGGAAATAAACAACTTTCAAATTTATTTGCTTACTATGCTTTTGCAGATATTAAAAAAATATTTGTCAGCTTTGCCAGCAACAAAACTTGAAGCAAAAGACTTTCTGTCCTTTTTGTCTATCCTACCTACAGCTCTATTTAGGACTGTTGTATCCTGAGCAAGGGTCTCCAAAGAAACATTATGGTGCTTGGAGAATACTGGGGTAAATAAACACAGTTTATTAAGAGCCTTCATTCTTGTGGGACTAAACTTGGATCATGCTATCATACAGAGGTAAAAGGTGGCAGCATTCAGCTAGTTATCAGCTCTCCTGCTTCTAGTTCTTCACCTGTTGAAGGACTCGGAAACTCAATTTAAAAAAAAAAAAGTGCTTGATAGAAGTAAAACTTGGCATTAAACTTACTTTATCCAAATCATCCATAGCTGACTTTAACTTGCCTAACTTTCTTTGTATTGCTCCACGCCTGCAGTAGTGAAAAGCTGAAGGATGCTCTTCCTTTTCTATTAGCTCAGACAGTCTTCTTACTTCTTTTTCTAAATCTTCAATACTAACTGTTGCTCCTTCAAGAAGAACAGGCTGTATTGAGTCAACTAGTTCTATTTGTACATTTGCTTCCTGAAAGTCCACCATCTCAGTTCCTTTTAGTAATTCAGTATCCTTCTCCTCAGAAGCAGTCCCACTAGGAGGGAAAGTTTCATCAAACCAGCAGTTCCATATTCCACTGACCCACATGCGAGCAGAAGTTTCTTCTGGAATTCCACCCCTCACTTTTGCAAACTTTTCAAAATCTAACAAACAAGGGATGCTGGGGCTCTGATATTGTTTGATTGCTGAAGACACCTTGGTACTGAATTTATCACGAATAGAAAGCCTTCCCAGAGACACAGACCTAAGGAAAAATATATTAACAATTAACTAAAGTTTCCCAGATATACTAATGATATAAAATTGCAATCTGCCAGTCAACAACTATTCAAAAACCTGTTGTTAGCTCTCTTGTTAATGATAATATTTTAACTTATCAGCCATTTATCAAAAACCATTACTGAAGCCGCAGGTAAGCAGAATTGTTCTGAATCATTCATGTCCCCAGAATGTTCAGCACTTATTTGCAGTTGCATGCTTATTTCCTCCAAAAGCTTCTAATTTAGGTTTACGAGGACAATACTAAACCTAAGAAAGGATGATATTTCATAGTGGACAGTTATCAGCCTGGCTAAATGATGATAAATCCTAGATGGATGAATATATCAATGATAGATCCCAATGATATTAGGAAGAGGCCATGAGAATATAAGCAGAAGCACCACCCAGAAGTGAAAGCAAGCACTTGAATTTACAAGGACATTTCCAAAATTATAATCTGGGAAAATTCGTAGCTTCCAAGATGAGAACCTTCACAAATGTTCAGTATCAACATCTGCTCTGAGATATCAAAGTGAAAGAAACTGAAGACTTTAACAGAAACACTAAATCTTTATCACAAACAATACTAGCCTTGCTAACACAGAGAGAATACCAGAAGGGAATACAGACAAAATATTTTATACATATATATATATTTATAATACTGTGTACCTAATATTTATAATATTTTGTACATAAGGATCCTACCAGGAAAAAAAGGAAATTAAATAAAAAATGTAGCAGGTCCATGCATGAGAGACATGCAAAATAGTACAAAGATGAAATCTCCTTGGTTTAGCAAAACTGGTATCAAAGCCTTAGACAGCAAAGAACATACAGTACCCCAGTCTAAAACAAGACTTTGGAAAGAGGACACCTTCTCCCTTAGTCACAGCTCACTAGAAAAGTATTTCACACCATTTAAGTATCTTTGATTTTCTTAAGAATAAACCTACTGAAAGGTGCCTAAAAGCTGAAAAAAGAAGCAGCTGAATGGAAAGCTGGCCTGAAGGACCAGGCCTGAGCATCAGTGTAAGTACAATGTGGACACATATGACTGTACACAAAAATAGACAACATTTGAGGTTTTTTTGCAGGTCACACTTCAAGCATAAGTATTTAAGAAATATCAAAAATCTAGCAAGAACATGAATTTCTTTTCTTTTTTTTTTAAATACTTGAATATTTTCTAAGGTATCCCATATCTGAAGTATGTAAATATTAAACATTCACTAGGAAAATATTTAGAGTGATACACGAAAACAAAAGGTAAAGAGCAAACTACTTGTTTGATGTAATCTACAAATTTCATGGTACAAAGGAGGTTAGTCCAGCCTAGCATTTTGGTTTCCTAAGAACTTAGAATTTTCCACTTGTCTTTCAGAAGCTTGACAATTTAATCATGCATTTATACTTAGATAAAACTTTTTCTGTTGTTGCATGAAGCAACACCATTTCCATTTAAAGTATAATATATACTAAATGTTCTAAAGATACCTGAGCAGTAAGTATTTTTTCTTTGCATTAAAAAAAAAAAATTATTCCTAAATAACTAAATTATTATTACTTAATTTCAGAGCAATATTTAATATTAAAAAAAAGATAAAACCCATCATTAGATAATACAGCCACAAATTAAAAAACATTCTTTAAAAAGGCAATACGCTAATTAAAGAAAACCTTTTAAGAATTTTTGGGGGTTGACTTAATTTCTTAATCACAGCTTCTAATTTTCTAGGGTTTATTATTTTCTTTGATTTCTTTGTTTTCTTTCTTCTTGGGAAAACAGTGTATTTAATCCCAGCCTTTTGAGATCGCTCCACAAGAACAATGTCATTCTCATTATCCTCTTGTCCAGTCAAAGCAGGCGTTTTTTCTCCTGGCATGTCTGTCTGCATTGACTGAGGATCGTCACAGATTTCATTCAACAGATGCTTGGTAGGGGACCTTTTCCCGATCTCTGTCTCAGCCTCTGACTCAGCTATCCGTTGCTTCATAACTTTCAACTCTTTCATGCTGGTTTTGAAATTAGCTGACATATTTAATGTAGTTTCATCTTTGAAAGCAGTCATCTCCAGAGCTGAGACTGATCTTTTAATCAAACTTGTCTGTTAAAAAAAGGAAACAATTTATTTAGATGTTCATTTGAAATAAGATTTATATATCACATTTCCTTAGTTGTAACAGACTGGATTTTATTTTGTATAAAATTGTAAAGAAAAAAAAGAGCAACATAGGGACTACACTGCTGAAAAAAATTATAGTATTTAATGGGAAAAAAGATCTGCATATCTCAGGATATATGTCAAAGCAAAGAGATCTGAAATATTAATCCAAAGTTATTTGAAGCTCATGAAGGGCTAAAATCAATCTTCTCTAAAAAGTATCACAAGAAATTTGAATTAAATACCCCTAGTCCTTGTAGGAAAGTTAAATTTTAAAATCAAAAACGTATGTCACTGGTGGTGACATTTACAAAAAGATGAACTGAGACATATTCATGAACTCAGAAGAAAAGACAGGAGGACTCTGTATAATGTTTGGAAATACAACTGTATTACATGGAAACACAGTTAATATCTGAATGGAATTATGCACCCTCATACCTTGTGCCCCCATCCCTGAATTGCCTGATGAAATCAAAACCAAAAGAATAACTATTATCCTCTGGTGTTTAATTGTTATTAATTACTAAGCAAATACTATCTGCAATAACAAATGTATTGCTTCTTAGTCTTTCTGTTAATTCCAGTTCACTAACTTGCACTATAATACTAGGCATAACACATCTTTGCCAAAGAAAATAAAATGCAATTTCATGTCTACTGCCTGAAATTTACAGAGAGAAACACTTGTTAGTAATAAATAAAATAAATGAAAAAATAAATGAAGCATTTAAAAATGTTGAATAATTTTTAATTAGACTCAAAGAAGCACTTTTTCAATGCTTGGTTACAGACATCTGCTAAGAATTATTTAATTTGTATATTCATTAGAAAGACCCTGCATCAGCCTTGTGGTAATGCATTATACCCTGTGGAGTTTTGAAAAGATAAAAAAAAATAATGTCACAAGTGTGCCACTTTTGTTTAGGAAAATTATATTTTTTTTAAAATCTAAGCTTCATACTGATTTATTTAAAAGCTAACTCAATGTAAAGCTATCATTTATCACTACATGTATCCATCATTAGCTGTCATCACCAAATCAAATAGTTTGATTGCAAATTGCATAAATATTGAATTGTTACTTGATAAATTCTTTTCATGAACTATGCATAGTTTTGCTAAAGGATGGCTAGCTGAATTCAACAAGACTACTTCTATTTGAACATGAAACTAGTATTTTAAAAATCAAACATCAATGCTTAGTTCAAGTTGCAAATCTGGTGTTTAACTCATAATTGTATTTATCATTGCATACAAACTGCTGCCATGCTTCATGTCCGTCTTTAAAACAACATGGTCACAACATTTTAAGCAGGTCTTTATGGACTATATAGAAGTTTTAAATAAATACATACTCCTCAAATTCTTACTCAATATCAAATTTGTTAATAAAATATTACTTGTATAATGCTACCAAGGTCTTCTTTGCATAGCTGTAAAATTTACATGGTTTATTGCTGCTTTATGTATTTTGTGAAACAGCTAACATAACGTCAATAGCCATAAAAGTACATAGCACTTTACAGATTGGAAACTTGACAACATTGATGCCCTGATACATCTGAAATCCAAGGACCTAATACTGCAAATCTTTACTCAGATATGTTGTCCCACTCATTTCAGGTTAGCTAGAGTACAGAGTAGTCACACTTATCTCTATCCAAATGCCTGTAAAGTTAACAGGGGTTCTCACTGCAGAGCTACGTTATCCTATTTAATGTAACCAATCCACCTGAAAAAGACCTCTGAGACTCTCACTTTTGCATTTAGTAGGAAAATATTAAGTTCAATTCAGTTCAGTGGAAGAATTTCTTCCACAAAATCACAGTTCAGGAACAAATACAAGTAAATATAAAATAATATAATACCTCTGAGCTCTCACTGTCAGAAAAGTCAGGCAAGGATTGGCATCTTCTCAGTAAACTTTTTGTCTATAGATAAAACAAAAAGCAAAATAAGTCTGAAATAGTCTGAGCCTAATATGAATAAAGCTTTCAGATACATTCTGCTTTTAAAAGCAGGGATTGATGAAAATAGAGCTAATGTCCAAACAAATCTGTATTTTCACAAAAAAAAACCAACCCCACCTTTGCCAGAGTGAAGTGAGGACTGCATTTCCCTGGATTTCTGGATATCTTAAGACCATTCCACTGCCAGATGTCCAAAATTCTGAGACACATTCAACATGCTCATATAAATTAATGCTAAAGAGCAAGCAGTCAGTGGACATAGATGGTCCAGTGCTGTAGATGCTCCAATCCCAGAACACACTGTGAATATGCCATACTGTTGAACACCTTGTTAATTTACTGCCTGTATAGAGAGGTCTTTCCAATGAACATTCTGTAACTGGAAAGACCCACACTGCAACTTAGAGCCACACTTAAATCTTTCACTTGCAAATCACCTGCATAGAATTGTTTGCCTATCCTTTAATATTACATTCACAGAAATTCTAGATTAAAAAAAAATCACACACTTGGAAACATCTCTTTACCCCTATTCTGCTTCTTGACTCTTGCAGCTTTTTAGATGTCTGGGCATAGTGCAACATCCCGTAAGCCGCTTCATTGAGATATGTCATATTACTCAAAACCTGTTATTTATAATCACAGGCCCGCCCCTAAATCATCACCTAGTGCTATAATAATGCAAAATAAGAAGCGTCTTTAAAATATGCAATGACTCCTTCCAAGCACAGTTTCAAATTTCAGAAAGTGAGATTTAGCATTTTCTAACTATTAAAAAATGAACAAATACCATACCTAACATAAAATTGTTTCTAGAAGTCAACTACATAGAAATGTTTCGTCTT